TCTTTGTTGACTTGTTTTGTGATTTTCATATAAATACACATTTTTAATCTTTCCTTCTGGATAATATTAATAATATTTCCATAAGTAAGGGTATTATATGGTATGATACCTTCTTCATTGACTAAAACTTGTCTGATTTTGTGGGCAAACAAGTTTGGCAAACCATTAATGAATTTTTATTTCCAAAATGGTTGATTACTGTCTTCTCTAAGCATGACTCTAGATATGAAAACATCTTTGTACCATCTAAAATCACTAAAGGACATCTTAAGTTACTAAGTTGGTCATGAATTCTTGAGGTGACATTACTGGGCATTCCTATGAAATGTTCTATGATTGTGAAAAGTAATGTGTTTACTGCGTATGGGACTCCCATTTTGATTTGTTCATCCAAAATAGGTGTTCCTTCTTCATCTCGTTTGACTGCATTTCTAATTTTGTTTTTGGATTGTTCAGTGAGATGGTTTTCCCCCTAGAAATGAAGCATTCTTGTAAATTTAATGACCAAAAGGTCGACAACTTGGGTTTGACTGAGATTATGGTTGGTTCATAACTACTAGCAACCATAGAGATGTGTTGTAATTTTTTTAAATAATTCTTGTTCTGATAAACCATATGTATTCCATTCATAAAGTTTATCTGTTGAGACTGAGAATTGGTTTTGGAAGTTTCTCTCCTCAAACTAGATATCTGGAGGTGTTGGCCTTGGATACAATTCTTGGTAAGAGTTTTTGGGTTGACTTTTGTGTTTGTGATTCATTTTAGTTCAAGATTCTGGAAAGCTTCTTCTACTTTCCTGATTGAACTTGTTTCACTTTCTCCTTTTGAATCCCACCTCACAGAAGTTGTTTTTGGTTGAGATTCATCTGAGTGTTGTAAGATATTAACTGTTTTCTCTTGTTTTAACTCTCTTAACATCTGATCTATTTTTTACGGACAAGGATTGTCTGCCCTCCCTTTTTCCATGCCCTTCCATGCCCTCATGTTTGTGTGGTCACGGTTAAGCCACGTCAACATTTTATATTACTATTCATGTTTGTCTTATTATCTTTATAAAAAATTAATATAAAATGTTAACGTGGCTTAACCGTGACCACACAAAACATGAGGACATGAAAGGGCATGGAAAAAGGGAGGGCAGACAATCCTTGTCCATTTTTTACTAGTGGAAATTATCTTTAGAGTTGTTGACGAGGTATTTGGGAAGTTGACTAAGGGCTTTTCCTTAATTGTGGGTTTTGGATGTGAAAGTCTTTCTATTTTGGTTTCAATTTTATTTAACTGTTTTCCTATGGTGTGTAGATACTGATTTTTGAAATTGTTTTGTTCAATGACAGGTTTGACTCATGCATCTTCTTTGGGAAGCTTGAAATGAGTGGTTGGGATTTGTGTGTTTGCGGTTTGTGATCAAGATCGTTTGTGGTGATGGGTGACTAGAAGAGACTATGGTCTTATCTTCTTTAACCCAATTTTCTTTGGTGATACTTTTCAGATCAGTAATATTTTTCAACAAAATTGAAGAAAAATACTTCAAATATGTGTTTTTTTCATGAAATTGGTCTATTTATCGTAAATGTCTAATTTTTGTTCTTTCGTACATTTTTTTCCAACGGATTTTGAATGATTTGTTTAGGACTAGCAATTGGTGATGTACCTGAATTGCTTTTCAGATGCTGCTAGGGAAGTTTGTTCTTCTTGGTGTTGGGTTTGGTATTGTGGGTGTGTAACCCGAGAGGTAGTTTCTACTGATTTTAACTTCATGTTGATTAAATCATTAATCAACTCTTGTTGGGCGACTACTGAGTTGGTTTCTACCGATTTTAATTTCTTATTGGCTAGAGAATTGATTAGATCTTGGTCTCAATTCACCATGTCGGTTAATGTGGATCTAGAAAAAGAATTTCTAACTAGTTCTCTCAACCTGTTTGATTAGCTTAACTCGTGTAGATGGACACTTGATTTTTCTAGTTGGAGGGTTGAAATTGATTTTAACTGTTTCGTCAAAGTATTGTTCTATGTTATCTAAGTTGACCAAACTATTTTGTATGCTTACTGGTTTACTTTCGTTAATCAAACACCAATCTGAGGGCATATTAATATCTAACCATTTAATAGTTCTAGGTATTTTGATGTTAGCATTCTCTTGATTGGTTTGGATCAAGAGTGTGTGATCTCAAGGACTTTTGACTAAGTTTTGGAAATTCATGTTTGTTCATGTAACTTTGTAGTAAACTCTAAAGATTAAGGCTAATGGTTGGACAACTTCAAGGACTTGACACCTTGAAGTTTTGATGTTTAATGTGAGTGCTTTCGGCATATGAGGATCTGAAAGGCTTATTGTGAGATTTGGAAAACAATCGAAATGAATTGGCCCGTTACAAAGGCTTGACTCGATCATTCCTAGAATGCTATCACTGAAGTCAGTGAACTTTGCATCTCGGAAACTTAACAAAATAGAGATATAAATGCCTCTTCTTGTTAAAGGTTTGACTGCGCACATAACTGCTTCGGCATCTGGGTTAGGGGAAAAGAAAGAAATAGGTACACAGTTTCCTCTCTTTGATGTTTGCTTTGCTAGCAACCTGTAATTTCAAGATTTCAATTTGCATTGATAATTAGAGGACTGACCACCATGGGGGAATGGGTTTTGGGTTTCTTACAAGAAGAAAAAATGTCAGAGAAAGGAAGAGCGAGAGAGGTGGAGGTTTTGCCAGCAGCTTCAAACCTATGGGGATTAATTCCCAGCAATTCAAACCTATTAGGCTAGGGATTGGGACTAAACCTAATTGATACAGCGCAAACTTCGTTGGTCACATCTTCAAGAAATTTTTCAGGAAAATTTTAACGAAAAGCTCTCAGTACTATTTATTTTAATGAAAATCATATTTTTATACTAAAAAGTCAATCCTGGTACTATTCATTTTACCCTTTATTTTGTCATTATCATTAAAACTCAAAATTTTCAGACCCTTTTTATTAATTTTCATATTTTTCAGAATTCCAGGCACAAATGCCAACTGGTTTTCCGGGTTTATCAAAATTAGACAGCTGGATCTCCTTTTCTCTCTACAGCGATGGAGCTTTCTCATCAGTCTCTGGTGTAGTCCCATCAGCATGAGGCACGGGTTGCCCAGAGATCAACGTGGGTGATAGTGCCAACTCTTGGTGGCCATCAGAAACAGCAGGCAGCAAAAGTGGAGGAACCACGGGTTAAAAAACCAAGTCATTTTGTACCATGGGAGTAAAGAAATGAATGATGACCATCTCCGGATATATTTTAGGAGAATTTCAGAGATCTTTTAATTATATTTGTTTATTACATATTGTACAGTAAAATATTAGTGTAAATATTTTTATTAAAAATTAAATACTTAATAAAAATTAACTATATAATATACGAAGAATGAATTTTAAAAGATTCTCAAGATAATTACAAAGAGAATTCTCGTTCAAAAGAAATGGGTAGCCATCCTCGTTGAGTTGAGGCCATATCGGAAACCGTAAAGGCGTAAAGTTATAGATAAATAAATAAAGGGAAAATTAGGTTCAAATTTGATCCATATTATACTAGTTTATTGTGAGGCTCACTTTCTCTCTTCTAATGTTAATAACATCGTTTATTCAAAAAAACCAATAAGTTTTTACATCCTGTTTTTTTGTTACTCCATTAATTAAAATCTTATTCATTTTCAATTTTTGATCAAGGTTCTTGGGTATTAATAACATCATTAATTATTTGAATAATAAAATATTTTTATTTTTAAATATATTCCTTTAATGTTAAAAATGTTACAATTAGTATATTTATATTTATGGCTAAATTTTTTATCATATATTTTTATTTTTAGTTTGTACCTATTTTTAACAAGGTTCTAAAAAACGCTAGACGCTAGTCGGGCGGTGGGCTAGGGCCTAGCGCCTAGGCGGATTTAGGTAAATTTCTTGTATATCTTGTAAATAAGTGCATATTGACACCTAAAAAAAACTATACTTGTATGGATAATAAAATAATGATAAAATGCAAATTAGGTACACTATTTCCATAAGTATTGGATGAACTTGTAGTAAATCCATTATTTGCATATTAGATACACCATTTCCATAAGTATACCACCATGAAACCAAAAAAGAAAAAAGCACGCAATTAATAAAAAAAAAAAAAAAAACCTCCTAGGACCGCCTAGCCCGCCAAGCCGCCCAACCCTCCTAGCCTGCCTAGGCCCAACCAGATTTTTCCGCGCGATTTGCCCAAAAACGCCTCGGTTGCTAGGCGGCCGCCTAGGGCGTTTTTTAGAACACTGATTTTTAATTTGCAAATATTTTTTAATTTTTACCCATATATTAGTTTCTTTTTGTACCCATATTTTTTAAAGTTTTATTTGTATTTGTACCCATGTGTATACCGTCATGTGACATTGTATATTTAATCAATGATAGAAAAATTACATATGATATATTTATGTTTTATGCCTAAACTTTGTATCATATATTTATATTTTTAGTTTGTAACCACTTTTAATTTGCAACATTTTTTAAAAATATTTGTAGTATTTTCTTTTCAGTTTTATTTTGTACCCATGTATTAATTTCTTTTAGCGCCTATATTTTTAAAAATTCATTTGTATTCATAATTTTTTATTTGTACCCTAATTTATTTCTAATGTACCCATTCTTCTTTATTAATTACCACTTTGTTATATGTGAAATGTACCAATTTTTTTAACACTATGGATACATTCTTTATAAAGTTTATTTGTATTTGTATTTGTACCCATATATTTTTTTTATTTGTACTTTTTATTTTCCTAAATGTACCCATGCTAATTATATGTACCCATTCATGTAAAACTGACACACCCCGACCGAAGTCGAGACGTACTGGCCATCACGTGAGAGTGACCAAGCCATGAGCACAAGGCGGAAGTGAAAAAAAAAGAGAAGAGAAAAACTAACAATTTAAAACCAATCAACTAACAATCCCAATAAGAAAGGATGCTAGTGAGGATTTAAGTATATACATACACTTTCAGAGTAAGAAGATAGTCTAGTTGCAGTCAAGGGGACGATTGCTAAATACAACACCCGAAGGTGAATCCTACGTTTTCGGATTCTGTCAGAACACCGTTGGATTCCTCGTGGCCACCAAACTCTGCTATCTATGACCTGGAGGGGCGGAAAAAAAACAAAGTTGAGTAGGTCAGTAAAACACATTTACACGAAAACCTTATTTTCCTTTGAATATATTAACCCCTCGCCGTAAAACAAGTATATGATTATTTTCCCAGAAATTAGAATACATAAATAAGTATATAAATATATCATTTCAATTCAATTCATGCTTTACACATTCATAAACATATGCATGCCATGCCAATATATCACAAAGTACACAATTCAGGTAAGAATAATTTCATAGAAATATGATATGTTAGCCGGAACCCCTGAGGTGGTCTGTACGACTGAGTTTATAACTCAATAGTTAATCTAGCCGGAGTCACTATAATGACCTATACGGCAATATACTGCACATAAGTCGGAACCACTGAAAAATGTATGTACGACAAGGTTGGGTGTAATATATAATTATGGTCAATTCTACTCTCTCAATGCTAGCTGTGCGATAATACGTTAGTCACCTACGAGTCGGAACCACTTATAGTGGTCTGTACAACAAGATTGTGCATCTAATTAGATCCAATGTGAGCATATGGTGCGGGAGGTGACATAATATACAGGCATGTGCCATCTTTCTTTGGCTAAATCACAATCACCCTGGGTGCAAGTTTATGAGTTAACGGTTCTCAATCACATATCGCATCATCGATGATTTACATAACCAAACACAATTTACCTGAACTTACCTGTGCCTCCACAGCACCACATTTATATATAAGGTATTACACATCAATTCATGTACGAAACATAATTGTATATGCATGGCATTTATGGCATGACATTTAAATTGCATTTCCTTTAAATACGTTTTCTGGGAAAAACTTCATGTGTGTATATATATATATATACTGAAAATAATTGCCCACTCACTGAGATGTCAATGGGTCGTAGCCCCCGAGCCTCGATTGATTACGCTCGTCCCGAGAATATGCCTCACTTATAGGCGTAATAATCGAATAAACGTTATTTAACGCACATAACCAACAATAAGTAATAACTTCTCATATATTGCTCAAATTGGGTATATGAATATGCCACCATGACCTACACAACCTCAGGATCATCCCCAATTTTTTAGATAAATTTTTGGAAGCCTCACGCGCCGACAATGGCACGGCCAGACGCGCCCTCATGCGAGGCCATGTGCCAGGCACACTGACGACATCAGTTAACGCCGTCAGGAATATTTCGAGAATATTCCGTTAAGTCCTAACATAATCCATCCAAACTAACTGACGGCGTCGGAATATTCCATCAAACTTGACGGAATATTCCGTCGTCTCCTTCTTCAGAACTCCAACGACCATCGTCGGTGCCGGAAAATTGGAAAATTTTCTAACTATGATTTCTTCTTCATTTTTGCACCATTTTCTACGTACTTTATACCAAAATGAAGATCTCACAAAGATGAAACAACCGTACCTGGCTTGACCTTCGACTCGTCGGAAATTGGCCGGAAAAAGCCTCGATAATTCTGGCCATATTTGAAACTTTCCGTTCTCACTATTCCAACGTCCAAATCTTCAAACGAAGTACTCTGAGCTTCGTAAGGACCTCTTTAAGCTCCCTATGTCCTTTAAATTCCCTAAAAATCAACATTTTACGTGACCATGAATAGTACCTCAAATCGGGTTTTGTGATTCGACGTGAAATCGAAGGTAATCTTACCTATATTTGGTACCCTTGAACTCGTGAGGACCATAGGAACACAATGGTACCATTTTCTTCTTCTATCTGCCATGTTTGCAAGGGCTTCTGGTTGTGTCCGTACAAGAGAGAAGAGAGAGAGTGAGTCTGAGAGAGAGAGAGAGCACGGGAATGAGAGAGAGTGTGTGGGTAGGTGGGTGTGTGTGTGGTCCAAAAGCTACCAACCAAAACTAAGAAAAATCTTAGTTCTAATTGGGTCACCAATCCCAAATACTTACACCAAAATATATCGTACACATATCATTCAACGTCCGAGGGTATTCCCGTCTTTTCACGTCAACAAGAATTATTTTTCGGGACGGGCTGTGACAAAAACTTTTTAGTCTTAAAATGTACTCATTTTTAAATATACCAATTTGTTATATGTAAAATATACCCACTTTTTTTTTATATATATATAAAATCTATTCAATTTTTTTTCTAATCCATTTTTAAACTTATATGGGTACATTAAATTTTTTTTGTTAATTTTGAAGAATGTACCCATGTTTTGATACAATAAATTTTTTGGTTAATTTTGATGAATGTACCCATGTTTATATATATACACACACACAATAATATATTTATATTTTAATATTTTTAATCCCACAAATTATGATTTTTTTCTTTAAAATCTCATTTATATAAACAACTAAAATTTCTAATTTTTAATTAAAAAATATAGTAACGTACATAGAAATAAATCATTACAATAATTTCAGAGACTTCGATCAAAAATTAAAAATCAACAAGTTTTCAATTAAAAAATATTCATAACTAAGAATAACATCCAAAGTCTCTCTAAATAAATAAAAATAAAAATAACACCACCCTTGAATTAAGTCAAGCAACGCCAAAAGTGAATATAGGATGAATCTCCAGATAAAGATTTCAAATTTATGCGGAGAGATTTCGTTTGGAAGACTTTCTCAATAAAGCAATTTCAAAGAGAAATTAGCTGATTATAAAAGCCGAAACCACGTGGCGAGTTTCCATTAGTCACGTCTTCCAGCGAGGATTCCTTCTCCAAGATAAAATCCGCTGATGTGAAAACCGATTTGTACCCGGCTTCTCTGCTTTTCTATTTTTCATACACTTCTATCTTCTCCTATTTTTGTACGGTAACGGTTAAACTATGTTAATATTTTATATTAATTTTTTATAGAGATAATAAGATAAAAAATAATAATAATATAAAATATTAACGTGACTTAATCGTATTCGCACAAATAAAAAAAGATAAAAGTGTATGAAAAATGAGAGAACAGAGAAGCTAGGTCCATTATATATAACAGCCTTGTAGGAGTGGAGCTTTCTCATCATATCAGTCTCTATAGCTGCAGACTCTCTCAAATGATCAATTATTTTTCTACATACTATATGGGTGCTCGTTCAAGGTTAGATAATTATTTTATTCTAACATCTCTAAGGATAATCAGCAGTTTTAATCACCATGTCCAAGTCCTTGTTTGCTAAACGTTCTCTTGAATTTATCGACTTGCTATTTGAAAGTTTAATTTTTAAATTGGATGTTAAGTTTTACTTAATATTTATACCATATCTCCAGATTTTGAGATAAACGAATTAAGAAAGGCTACATTTGGAGAGAAGTCTTCAACTACGAAGCTTTTTGGAATGGGAGGGATAAGAAAGAAAACAGGTTCAGCCTTCAGGTATCTCATTAACAAATTTTGCTATTTCGTTTTGTATCTTTTTTTTTTCTTGAAGATTGTCTATCTTGAATTCTATATTAATGACTTATAGTTTCAGACTTTCAAAAGATTTGTCGGCAGTTGTCTGATTATGACATTGCTAAGGTTGGTCGGCAGTTGTCTGATTAAGACACTGCTAAGGTTGGTCTTGACCACATCCCTCAGTACGAGACTACCAAAGTTGGTCTCGACCACATCCCTTGCTTCTCTGCCATCGTCACCATCAACTGCCTCGACTTCTACACTGTCCATATCTCGCCTTCAACCACCTCTCAGATCATCCCCAATCCATATCTCGCCTTCAACCACCTCTCAGATCATCCCCAATCCATATCTCGCCTTTAACCACCTCTCAGATCATCCCCAACCCAAAGCTAGGAATCCGAGCCCTTCCTCTTTCCCTCAACCTTCCCACGCCGTTAGTACTGCATATATAATCTTGTCTTTTTATTTACATGCATTTTGGTTTTTCAGGGTTTTTATTTTGAGAATTGTTATTGGCACTCCAAAAATATCATTCTATACTCCAAAACTTTTTATATTTGAAAAGAAAGTATAGAATGAGATTTTTGAAATGTCAATAACACTTCCCTTTATTTTTACCATTTATGTTTAATTATCTAGGAAATCAATCTCATTCATAGATCCTTAACATTCACAAATATAAATAAAGATATCTTGCAGATCGAAGCTTCTGTGTGTGTCTCTTTTGTGGAGCTAACTTGCTATTGTGGAAAATTTTGTATTATAAGCTGTGCGTTTTTTTGTTTAAATGTGATAGTTTTGAGCATCTCTAAGTATCTCTTTTATCTTTGTGTGTGTCTCTTTTTCTTTTCATAGGATGATTCTGGTTTGTATAAAAATCTGTTGCAACCACATGCCGTTTCATCAGTGAAGGAAACAGTCATATTTGAGTGTAGCAAAAGTCGTTTACCATATCTTGAGAGATCGCAAATGTATCTTACTAGCGCCAGCTAAGTTTGAGTGCATAAAATAGTTATGTTTCTTCTATTCTTTTATTTATTAAAGTTGTGTTTGTATTTTTAATGCATTTGTTACATCAAATTCCCTGAATATTTTACGTATAGTTCTCATGATTTTGTTTTTTCAGTTTCAAAGATACTACTAAGTTGTAACTTGTAACCATCATATGAAATAATTATAAGACATAAAGTCATGGAGTCATGGAGGTTGAAAAGGGTTGTAAGTTCTTATACAACACATGGAGTCATGGAGGTTGAAAAGGATTGTAAGTTCTTATACAAGACAAAGTCATGGAGTCATGGAGGTTGAAAAGGGTTGTTGTTGGGGTGTGTGTGGAGTTGATGGGTTGAGAAGGATTGCCGTTGTTTTCAGCCATGGAAGTGGAAAAAAAAAATGGTTGTCGTTAGATAGGGCCTTTAGAAACCATGTAAAACTTAATAACCCAGAATTTCACTTCAGCACTGCGACATAGTTTGAAAAATCCTAATTGCATATGGAATAGAAAGGCCAAGGAAAGAAATTTCGATTCCACACGAATTTACGGTGGGAGAGGAGAGCAGATGGATTCTCACGGAAGAAGAATCTTGCGAGATATTGACTACCATCAACGTCTTTGAATCTCCTCCCAAATAAGGCTGTTTATACATTTAATGAGATGTCATTCAATGATGTAACTACTACAAATGCTTGATACCAAAGCAAGCTTTCGAATGTATTTCCATACAATGCTATTTGCTAAATGCTTGAAAGCTTGTTGAAGCTCATGAAGTTATAACACATGATGGAGAAATGGCAGTTTGCTCATCACTTTCAAAGTTCAATGAAAATAGGAGATGTTAAAATGGTAATCTGCAATATTTCCTTGCAATCTCACAAAAGAATAAATGTGTAGATCTTATTTTCAATTAGAACATCTCTAATAAATGTGTAGATTTCATCACCATGCTTATCAATATAAGTCCATCTTGTGTCTTTACCAAGTCTAATAATAAAAGCCAATTGACTGAGAGCTCATACAGAACCACTGAAATCGTAGCCTTGACGACAAAATAGTCCAAATGAACTTCGACGTAGGAAAGCTCATTGCGTTTATTGTCCTCATCTCAGCCCTCGTATATTATTGGTTTTAGAGAGAAGAATGATTGAATCTGGCCTCTTTGTCCTCCCTTTAACATTAAGTTGTGGATTAATTATCCATCCTTTGGAAGACCCACAAAATCGCTTCTTTGATGATTCTAATTGCAAACCAAGGACTTGGTTGTTCACGAAATCATATGCATTTCATTCCATGTATTTTCTTTCCTCTCAGAAACCAACACCATCGAAGTTGTCAACTTCAGTGGTGAAGCCATGAATTTTCAGGAGGAAGGGTGAAATTTAAACAGTTTAAGGTCCCGAAAAAATGTGAACATCCATTCGAGGCCTAAGTCTAGGGTTTGCATGAAGATTAAGTGAACTACTCGGAATATTTGTAGAAGAATCTGCACTAAACGAAATATTCGAAGTAGGAATTGGACATGACCTGACCTAGGCGAATTGAAAATTTTTATTATATATTGTATAAATAAGTGTCTATTTATTATAGACATATATTATCTCAGAACATGGACTAGAAAACATATAATATATAAAAATATTGACAAATTTTTTACTTTTTGTATTTTAGAGTAGGAGATAAAAATTCAAATGATTACAAGTTCGTAATACTTTACAAAATATTTTTTAAAGTTCATATGAATTTATAGTAAATTTGAAGATAAATAATTGTTTAAAAAATGTGGCTAAAAATTATTGAAAAAGTGAGCAAATTAATCAAACAATAATTAAAAAACAAAACAAATCTCAATATAATCAGCACATTAAACAGCTAGCTGTGTGACCGAAATTGATTGTGTACAATAGTTGAAAAACCAAATCAAAGTGGGTAACTTTGAAATGGCATGTGGGGTGGGGTGGGGTGGGTGAGAGAGAAAGTCTATCTTCTTCCCCTCTCTCTTCTTCTTCGTTATTTTTCAGTAGCTGCAAAGTGCAAAGTCTGGATGTTTTTGAAAGAAAAAAAAAAGAGTCTGTGCGCAGGAAACCTAGAACACCAGAAACTAGATACGACCAGAGGGGCAGAACCACCGGTCCTGGGCTTCATTTTCGGCTTGGGGAAGGCACAGTCGCCCTTCCTCGCCCTTATGTAGCTTCACCCATGGTCAACTTAGCATGTTTTGTAATTTAAGTACAATAAAATGACAAAATAAAAAAAAATATGCATATTTGTCGATTTGCCACATAAACTTGTATAGAGTTATCAATTCTCATTGAACTTTAATTTTAACCGATTACTCCCTTAAACTTTTGTAATTAGCCAATTTCCCCCTCGAAATTTTAATTTTAGCTCACTATCCCTATAAACTTTTATAAATAGCCCATTATCCCCTGGCTTTAGATTTTAAAAAATTTCATCCAATTTTCCATTCATCTTGATTACAGAAACAATACATGACAATTGTATAAAGACAAAAAATGATGGAAAATTGAATGGAAGTTTTTAAAATCACGTCAGAGAGAGAATTGACTATTTATAAAAGTTCAGGGGAAAATTGACTAAAATTAAAGTTCAATGAATAATTGACTAATTATAAAAATTCAAAAAGATAATCAATTAAAATTAAAATTCAAAAAAAAAAATTGACAGCTCCTCACAAATTCAAAAAAACAAATTAACAAATATCTCATTTGTAAAATGAGCAGATGTTCAGTTTTTAACTCTCAAAATCATTCAGTCGTTATTGTTTTGTTTAGGTATACGAAGCATCTTGTCGCCGTCACCGTCGCCGTCACCGTCGCCGTCACCGAAAGGTATAAAAATGTAAAAACCGAGACTCTTGGGCCGATTAACCAACAAAAATAACGGGGGTGGAAAATGTGATTACATGTCATACCTAAGAAACTTACAGTGGTAGTGGCCGCAGCTGATCTCCCGTCCCCTTGAACCCTTTCCTGCTTCTCCCAAAACCCTCCCGACCCCCCAACGCTCTCGTTTCGGCGTCTCACAAAAATGGTGAGCAAGAGACAGAGAGAAGCTCGCAGGAAATTCAGAGCAGAACACCCAGAACTGGCTAAACAGCCAACCCCCCCAAAAGACCCAACCAAGAAGAAGGAGAAGAAGAGCTCCTTCAAGCGCAAAAAGGCACCCAGCGACCCAGCCAAACCCAGCAAAAACCCCCATAGAAAACACCCCCTCAGAGTACCCGGCATGAAGCCTGGAGATAGCTGCTTCATCTGTAAATCCACCGAGCATATCGCCAAGCTCTGCCCCGAGAAAGTTCAATGGGACAAGCACAAGGTGTGGTCTTTTTTCAATTTTCTGATTTGGTTTGAGTTTTCTTTATCTGGGTATTTCTCCGATTGATGAAACTTGGAATATGTTGTCAAATCGAAATTCATGTGGGTAACTGGAAAAATGGATTATAAATGCATATGGCTTTGTGGGTATGTTTTGTTTTAGCTCTTAGTGATTGGAAATGGTGGTGGGTGCTCGAATCGAATTGGGTTTTTTGAATGGTTATTTGCAGAAAATAATGGAATTGGTTTTTTCATTTGAAATATGGTAATTTATGGTGTTGTGGAGAGTGGACTGTGGAGTGGATGAAATTCCCGTTTTGATATTGTTGTGATTATCTGATTCTTGCAGATATGTTTATATTGTCGCCAACGAGGGCATAGCATCAAGAATTGCCTTAACAAGAAAGACGATTCCGTGGCTGAGAAGTTATGTTATAATTGTGGGGAAAATGGGCATTCGCTTTCTAACTGCCCCTATCCTCTTGAAGACGGTAACCCTTCTAATCATTTAGAGTGCATCAAATAGGTTTATTACTCGGATGATTCGTGCAGGAAACTTACTCGGATGATTCGTGCAGAAATCTGTGTTATGTGGTGTGTTTGTGTAGCAGTGTATCACACATCTCGCTTAACTGCTTTTTTCTCTGCACGACAGCATGCATTTGAAGTTTACATGAGCAATGCAAAGGTTTACATAGCATTACCGGACATACTTTATCAGCAAGCACTAAGTTTGAACAATTTCCAGCTAACATCATTTACCTTTACTGAATTTGGTAATCCCCGCGCTAAGTTATTTGAATTGAAGCTTGAAGAAACAGGAACTTGAATAGTTTGGAGGTTTTAAGTGAATTATTGTTATCCGGAACTGCATGCTACAGAAGAGAAGTCTTTCATTGTGTGTTATTTTTTGTTATCCAGATAAATACAAATGGGATATTTGTTTATTGTGTTTTTTATATTTCAAATTGTACATGTCATGTTGAAGCACGTATGATTATCAACCAAATTTATCATCAATTGGGTTTGATGGCTCTATGAGGATCCAGTGACACATAGGACGTAAGTCAATCTGGTGATTTAAACGTTTTTACTTTACGTTATCGCTGTGTTATTCATTTTGTTTATTTGGTAATGCAGGAGGAACTAAATTTGCCAAGTGCTTCATCTGTAATGGGACTGGTCACTTGAGCAAGAACTGCCCTCAAAATACTCATGGGATTTATCCAAAGGTAATTTGATTAACACCTGTGATTTGATTTCGGATTATCCCTTATGACACTTTCCAATATGATTTTCGTCTTTCAGGGTGGTAGTTGCAAAATTTGTGGAGGTGTAACACATTTGGCGAAGGATTGTCCAAACAAAAGCAGCAGTTCAATGTCCGCTGGTAGATCTCCTCACTCGTGTAAGTTTTCCATCCGAATTCCTTTGTTTTTCCTGGGAGTTCCTGGTGTCTAATCTTCTCACCAAGAAATTAGTAGTTGATTAATTTGACATAAATGCTCAAATCGAGGCATATGTTTCAAGCTTTTCATCGTGTTGATCTGGCAGTGTTCTTAGTTTAGTGCCCTTTCTTTTTCAGGGAAAGAAAGTGATCTTCCAAGAGGAAAGGTTACCAAATTTCTGAGTGGAGACGATCTTGAGGATGATTTCAGTTTCATAGATGAGAAGAAAAATGGCGTTACACAAGACAAGTCCGCTGATACAGTCGGTCCTGCTTCTCTTTCACAAGAAAGCACTGTAAAATCAAAGAAGAAACAAGGACCCAAAGTAGTGAATTTCGTTGGATAGGGATGTTTCACTTATGTAGAAGAAATTCATGTCAATTTTCGGTCTTTCCTTTGTATGGCACCGTCCACGATTTTGCCGTAGGTCTAAAATAGTCTGACAGTGTTGAGAAATGATTTTTGTAGTTCTATGTAAAAAACCTTGAATCGTTCACCAATTTACCGTAATTTGTTTCGAGTTATTTCGCCTAAGATAATGACTTTCCATTTCTTTGGTGTATAAACGTAATTATGGAGACGATTAGTTGTGGACATGATCAGCCACAGACGCTTTAGAGAATTCTCAGCCTTTGTTTTGTCCCTTAAAATTCTCTTCCCCTCTTCCCCTCCGCAATTTTCTGGTCTCAGCCTTTCCCCCCAAAAACAAGGATTTCTCCTTCTGCTGCTATACTTTCCATCTCTCTTTCTTTTCCGGCTTTCTTCTTCATTTCGCACTACGCTCCGTCTCTTTTCCGACGACAAAATGGTATGTCTCAACTCTCTCTCTCTCAAAACAAATTAATGACTTAGAATGGTCAAGATGCATGTTACAATTCTTTCGTGGGGATGATCTGAATTGAATTTTACGTCGTTTCCCTCAAATATGTATGATCTGAATTGAATTTTACGTCGTTTCGCTCAAATATGTATTACGTACAAGGTTTTTTATGAAAGGTTGTTTGGTTTGGTTTGGGGTAGGCGTCCGGCATGGCCGTGAATGATGAATGCAAGCTCAAGTTCGTGGAGCTAAAAGCGAAGAGAAACTATCGATTCATCGTATTCAAGATTGACAAACAAGAAGTGGTGGTAGAGAAAGTTGGCAGCCCGGATGAAACTTACGAGGATTTCGCGGCGTCGCTGCCTGCTGATGAGTGCCGCTATGCTGTCTTTGATTTTGATTTCACCACTGCTGAGAACTGCCAGAAAAGCAAGATTTTCTTCATTGCATGGTAATCAACTGACTCCGCTAATTTGTTTAATTCCTTCCTTAATTAACCTTCATTTTACTAAGGTGCTAATGTTATGCATGAAACTTGATTTTCTCAGGTCTCCTGAGACATCGAAGGTGAGAATGAAGATGGTGTATGCAAGCTCTAAAGATCGGTTCAAGAGGGAACTTGACGGCATTCAGGTCGAGTTGCAGGCAACTGATCCGAGCGAAATGAGCCTCGACATTATTAAAGGCCGAGCTCTTTAAGTTTAAGCAGCAGATCTTCGACCCTTCCTTGACAATTACATTTGTCTATTTTTCTGAGATGACATTTTGTGTTTATAATATTTTCTTCTTTTTTCTTTGTTGTATGGGTTCAATACCAACCATGTAGTTTAATGTAATATTATGAATTCTTTTATCGATTTGCAACTTCTTACATCACTGTGTTTAATCTAGTCAATACTGTCACATCCCAGCCCGGGCCCCTACCACATCTCAGACTTGATTCCGCCGTAGCACAATATTATCCGTTTTGGGTCCCGACCACGCCCTCACGGTTTTGTTTCTGACGAAACTCAAAGCTTGAATTTTTATTGGTTAATTTGTAAAACCATTTTGTGAATGACAATAAATTATGCCGAGAATAATTGAGGGAATAGTTGACTTGGCAATCAAGTTAATAAAATCTCTAGGATTTTCGGTGCCTTAAGGAAATAAACATATTGGAATCCTAATTAAATGCCATCAATTATGGATCTTTATTAATTAAATACAAGTAATTACACAACAAAAACAGTGGAAAATCATCAGCATACAGCAGTCTACATAACCCTATCTCTATGATTGCTTACTCTGATTCTCCCAGTAACTTCTCTCCCACGTTTCTACCTGTTTAATTGAGTTTGATTGTCTCCTAAGTACTGCAAAAAGAGTTGCTGGATCATAAGGCGGAGGCATGGCGCATGGATTCCTCTCGGCAGGACCCTTCACCAGAGATTCCATCATAAATTTCTTCTCTAATCCTTGCAATTTCTTCTCTAATCCTTGCGCTTGGCAAACCATTGCCTCCGAGCAGAGCTCAACCGCTTTTCGAGGTATGGTGGGCTTGAACTGTAAGAGCTTTGAGTATTCGCTTAATAGATGGAACATGTAGTCGTACACATAGTCCATCTTCAAATCCTGGAGAATCATTTTTCTTGCTGCCTTTCCAATGGATTGTGCCTGAAGAAACCATAGAAAACCAATGCAATAAGAAAAACGAATACACAAATCTGCAGCAAAAAGCCTAACACTCGAAATTATTACCTTTTTCTTATGACTGTTGCCCCAATCAACAGCAAACTTAATAGATCTGCACTTGTCATCATCTTTTATGGGCCAGTAGTGGTGCACTGGCATCAAACCTCTCGTGAAAAAATCATAGTAACGGGGTTTTACTATAAAGGTAACAGAATCACAAGCAAGAATGTATTTTTCACTCACAGACCAAGCAGACCCTTCTATGTAGATCTTATACCTGCAACGATTGTGCATCGAATAAAAAAAAGTCAGGCAATTAGTATAGTGGATCATAGATGTTGACTATAATTAAAGCAGGTGGTTGTACATAGTAAGCCAAATTAAACTCCTACTGATAGTGGGATGTTTCTACCTATGAACGCATTGGCTTGCCAAATCCGATTGCTTGTAACCTTCCTTTATTTCTTTTAACCAATCCTGCAATTTATTTATGAAGAACACTGTCAGACTCTGAACTATTGCTACATATGGTCAGAATTTTTCGACTAAACTGCAACTGTAGGAACAGTTAACCGAAGAAGAAATTGGTTAACGAAACTATTGCTATAAAAGGCAGATTAGAGGTGCAATAGGAAGTTAGGAACAGTTAAACGAAGGAGGAATTGGTTAATGGTACCTGAGCATAAATACGAGCATTCCAGTCCATCTGGTCAGAAACATTACATTTGACGAGGTCTTTCCTGGTTTCAGCAACAGATGGATTTCCCTTCCAATAAGCATACGGTTCTCTGTCTATCCATTTGCTCCTCTTGTTGCCTTCCTCTAGGTCCTTTAACAAGAGCTCCCATGGCTTTATATTGATCTCAGACCTAAGAAACGAATACGGGAATCTACAATGAGTGCACAATGAGGACTGATACACAATGAGTGACCGTATACCCAATTGGATAAATTCATTCGCATCACTACCAGATTAGCGATATGTTCACTTAACTTGTAGCACAAGCCATGAATTATGAATCAATGAGAAACATGATTTCAAAAGCAAATGAAAAGGTCAAGAAGTCTTACCATCCCCAAAATGACCAATCAGGGAAGACAATATCGAGTGAACTGTCATCACCGCAGTAGCGAAACAAGGGTGGTGGAGCAGTGGAATTGGGCCGGCTATAGAACCTTGATAAAATGACGGGCCAGTCAACGCAGTCAAACATGAGCTCCAGATCAGGCACTTTCCCTGGATACCTCCGTAACAATTGTAGGATCCCCCACAATGTAAAAACGTCTCTCGTCTGAAACGAATTCTGATATGTCTCCACGTAAGCCTTGCCCTTCATGATCACCAACTTGAAATTGGCCGTACGCTTGGCACTCTGTACCATGTCTTTCGTGATCCCTGTGTGCGCCCATGGCCTTAGGTCCTCGTATATCCAACGGAAGTACTCCGGACACGTTGGTGGTGGTGATGGACTGTCGGGATCTTGCTCTGGGTTGAAGGTGGTAGGGTAGTTTGATGGGCAGGTTCGTGTCAGGTCGTAGGCAGTGCAGTTGAGTGGGAATTCCAACTTGGGTGGGGGCTTTTTGGGAATATAAGAAGTTTTGTGAGGGTAATTTTGGGATGCTCTGGTCGTTACGATTGATCCTTGTGCTGAAGTATCAACTATAGTCTATTTGTCACACCAAACACAAAAAAATTATTCATGTCACATAATAGTCAAATAGTATATTGACGAATAATCCGAAAGAGGTAAAGAAATTTGTACTATGTTCCCTATAAAACACAACACCAAAGGTCACCCTTACAATATTTTCTCTAGGCAAAGTATGAGTTTTTTTTTTGTTGAAAAACGGGGGCTAAAAGCAAGAGCTTAAACAAACCTACTCGATAATAAATCTAGACCAGGACATTCTAAGTCGATCATCACGAATAAAACTAACTGAACAACAAGAAAGAGTATCAAAATAAAAATTACCTAAATCTAAATCAAGACTATAGGTCGCTAAACTATCCGCCATAAAGATAAAGTTTCACTTTGATTCATGCAGTTTCAATTGTCACGACTTAAGTTAATGGCTATCACATTTACAAAGTTAAATTGATGTCGATGAGTGACTCACAGCAGAGAATAAATGAATGCTTTTTAACGTTTTAATCTCAACTTAGATATCAAACTCATTGGAAATAAGCATGCATTCCTTTGTCACCTAATAACTAGGAAAACATTTTTGATGTCACAGTTAGTATATGACTTTAAATAGCAACAACCAAAAGCGATTTTGGTCAAATTGATTTTGTATTCCAAAAGCACAAGACATGTGCTTCTTGCAGAAAGCATTCAAGTGCTTTTTCAAGATCCACTTGAATTTCTACTAAGAATTGGTTTAAACAATATTTTTACCAAAAACACTTCCAATCAGATTAAATCAGTTTCAAATGATTCCATAAATCTTTTTTGGGTGAATTAGTAACTTAAGATTAACATAAATTTCAAATGAAGAAAATGAGGCGGTGCACAACAGCGGGCTCTACGTGCTGGACTACGTAGTCAACAGAACACGTGGCCCATTAACGCGCATTCCCACACCACGTTAACCGACACTCACTGCACATGTTACGCAGCCCTACATTATTAGAATCTGGATCCTCCTCTTTGTAAGAATGCTCGCAAAGAATCTCGCATTCGTAAATTATGTTCGTGATCTTATATCGTGATCTGAAATTATTTTAAATATTTTTATTTAAAATTAAATACAGATAATATCTAATAAAAATTATACGATAAATAGACACGATCCACAAATTTTCAGAATTCTTCTGATCCTGCTGGTACATTATTATATACGGCGTACTATACGGATTCATGCCGTTTGACAGACGTCGTTGGGTTTCGTACTTTCTAGCTTTTTTTCCCAGTTCTTGACATTACCATTATAGCTAGGTTGATATATAGGTTGATAGAGAACTTAAACTTTCTTATTTATAAAATTATCATTAAACTGTAATATTACTATAAAACAACTCGTCTTCGTTAGACCGCAGTCCAACTTACTTCTATTAAATTGGTAATTAAGAAAAATAATATTTCTTCAACTTAATCGTTTATTTTTCACTACAAGTACAGTAATAAAAAATAAAAATATTAATAAAAGACCAGGAATGAGTTATTTGGACAAATAAATAAATAAAAGAGCAGGAAATAAAAAATGAATATTGGAAACAGGTGCGTCAGAAACAGTGTGGAGCAAAGAGACTTACAGGGAAGTTGAGAAGGCGCGTACAGACAAACGCGCCCAAGCTGAGGAAGACGAAGACGAAGACAGCAGAAAATCTCGCAGGTGACTTCATAAATGGCCGCAACAATAAGATAGCTTCGGAGAAGTGACTGTACAAGCATCTCTGCATACTGTCGTTCTCTCTCATATCTTCTCTGCATACACTCTCTTAATTACTCTTTTGCCCTCCCTCTTGTTCTCTGAGGACCATGACTCTGATCCAAAGTTGGAATCAGATTCCAGGGATTTGATCAACTGGGTAGGTGGAGGAACTGGTTTCCTGAAATGGGTCGGGTTTCGTTTTGGCTGGTTGAAGCGGTATGGAGCAGATGAAGGTGGCGCATCTGGTTTGGAGCTAATGGAAAAAGGTTGAGTTTTTGTTGGGTAATTGTGAGTGGAATTTGAAATAATACCAGAAGAAGTGGAAGGAGGAGGCAGAGAAGGTGCCTAAGAAAATGAAGTGAGATCTAGTCTTCTAGATCGTGAGTAGTGAGAGAAGTTGCCTAAGAAAATGGAGAAAATGACCAAATTGAAAAGGAAAGTTTGATCGGAAGAAAGGGAGAGATGCGGGAATAAAGAGTCAATACATGTTACAAAGTAGGATTTTTTAAATAAGTTATAACGGAAAGCTATCGGTTCATTTTAAAGAAAAATTATATTTTTACATTAAAAAATTATGATATTATTTATTTTACGTTTTACTTAATTATTATTATTAAAATTTAAAATTTTCAAATTACTTTCATTAATTTTTCATTTTTTAAAGACGGGCCTGTGGCTCCTCTTTTGGTGCCTTTTACCAACATTAGGATCCATTTACCAAACTTTCTAAATTTACTAATTTAGTACCCAAATCTCTATTAGTATCTATTTTCACCATAATTTGTAGGGTAAATAAATAAAGGTAGAAGAAAATGCAAAAAAAAAAAAAAATATGTGCATAAATCATTTTGCAAACCGTTTTATGCACTTTGTTTTAAAGCTCGTTTGAAAATATCCTTAAAAATGATTTAAAACATTTTTAAAGAAAATATTTTTAAATTTTAAAAATTCTTGAAATGCTCTTTACAAGAAGCACTCATTTCAAGTGTTGTTTTATAATTTACTTGTATTTTTACTATTTATTGATTCCAAAAGCATATATAGGAAAAATGCTTTTAAACATTTTAAAAGTATTTTCAAACCATTCCTTAATTTAAAATTTTCATTTTTTGGCTACAAAACAAAGTTGGTTTGCTTGAAATTTATTTTCTTATTGCAATTTTTCAAATCCAAACAAAAGTTGGTTAGCTTAAAATATATCTTGTTCTTGTTTTAGGAATTTTAGTTGTGTGATGGTAATTGAGAGTCTCAATTATTTGTTTTATTTCAATTCTAGCAAACAAAAATTATTGACACACCCCATCCTGAAGAAGGGCATGCTGGCCGTCACGTGAGAGTGGCGTAACCATTTACACAGTTCGGAAGCTTTAAAGATACCATTACTAAGATATAACACCCGAAAGTGAATCTTACTTTTGTGAATTCTGTCAGAACACGTGAGTGTGTCAATTATGATCCATTATTATTACATTAAATGAAAACGGACTTAAGACAGATGGCGTTACGGGCCTCTTGGCAAACTCTTCTCCTTTTAAATTGGACTTTATTTCGTACCATATGGAGCCTAAAGTTGTTACCTTTTAATACATTATCATAAAGACATTCATCAAATTACAATAACATCCTTGTCTTGAAACTAGACAGCATAGAACATGGGGCTGGCTTTTACCAGAACCACGCTTATTTTCTGGTACTTTGGGATCCCTGGAAACACTTGGCTGTCACGGGTTATATCTCGCTTGAGTCACATGATATACTTACACAGAATATACCCCGGTAATATTAAGAATCTGCGTATGGATGCTAGCAGGGCCAGCATCAAAAGCCTTTTCTTCCCAAAAAGAACCATTGTCACGATTAACTTAACTCACTCAATACGTGACTAGCGAAATCGGGGGATACTGATACATATCCGTGGTTAGATGTAAGAATTTCACAACAAAATATATTGACAAAGTGTGGATGGTTTGCAGATTGTGGAGGTGAGAGTTCCAAACCTTGAATGTGAAGGATGTGCTTCCAAGTTGAAGCAAGCTGTCTCCAAACTGAAAGGTACACAAACTAATAAACAGGGTATTTTTCTTCATTGCTTTTGAGCCCCATATTATGTAATTCTTTCCACTGCAAACCATCTCCAGTTTGGAACAATAAAACTGGAAATACATTAAACAAAGAATCAGTCGTATTGTTCATAAATTGCAGTTTAGTATCTATTTCATAACGTCTTAGTCTTCCTTAATTTTTTTATTTTAATTAAAAGTTTGGAACTAGTTTTATTCGTATATATTTTTCTTGAAATATTAGATGGCACCCAACATTTCAAACCAGAAATTTCAAATTATTAAAAATGTAATTTTCTATTTGAACAGGTGTGGAAGAAGTGGAAGTAGAAATGGAGATCCAGAAAATAATAGTGAGGGGTTATGCATCAATTAAGGGAGCTGGAAAAGCAGCAGAGCCATGGCCTTTTACTGGATACTCTCCCTTTGCGGACTTGGATTATCTGCTCTCCCTCATCTCATACTCTTCACATTCCTTTTAATTTCTATGGTCACGGTTAAGTCATATCAACATTTTATATTGATTGTTTTTAAGAAATAATAAAAAAAAAGTAATAAGAATATAAAATATTCACGTGATGTAACTGTGACCATAGAAATAGAAATTGATAGGAAGGGTATGGGATGGGAGGTCTGGCGTCCACACCTTCTTCCACACCCCGTCGCTTTATTCCTTCGCCGTGGCATCCGATGAGGCCATTGCATCACTTTTCAGCGACGACAATCCGCATGCTTGCGCAATCATGTGATTATTTTTTTTAACATTTTGTTCTTATTTAATTTGTTAATTTTGTACTTGTTTTTTAGTGCTTCTTATTCTCACACTTTAGTCTGAGTTGTTCACCACTTAATTTTAAGTAGTTTAAATTTTAAGAATTGTTTGATAATCATTTGATGTTTAATTTTCAAAATCAAATGTGTTTGACCTTGATAAATATATATCCTTCAATGGAAACAGTCAAAAGGTCTTTACTGAGAGAGGATCTTCGCCGGATCCTTTTTGAGAATTTTCCAATCACATATGTTCATCGTACATCGTGCGGTTAGAAATCATTGTAAATTTTTTAATCTAACAAATTCAATGGTTTAGATGCAATCTAATTAGTCCAATTAATTTAATTTATTTAAATAATTTTGGTTTGGCAACAAAATTCTAAAAACCTCTTGTAATTAAGATTTTTAATTCTCTATCCTATCTCACTAATTATTTTTCATTAATTCCATCTTTCCTATTAAACTCTTCCTTATTCTTCAAAAAAAAAAAAAAAAAAAATTAAACTCTTCCTTCTCCCTTCTCCCTTCCTTGCCCTCGTTCATCCTCCCCATCTTATCTTTTCAGTTCTCATCAAATATGTTATCACAACATCCAACACATCCAGACTCATTAAACCAAAGAAAAGAAAGAAAAAATATCAGAAGTAGGAACACTATCGTACTTTTGATTATTTGTTGAAGATACTTGTACGATATATATTTAGACACACAAACTGATCACATTCCTCTCTCTACTATAGAGTACAGATAAATAGGTCATGCGTACAATTTGGTATCATGTCAAGTTTGCATGTTTTGCGTCTAAAGAGCTTCACCGTTCCAATGGTAGCATGTCCCCTCGACAATTGACTCGTTGAACCAATCAACCCTACATGGGCCTGGAGGATATATACTCCACTGGAACTTACTAGCACGGTCGATGTCTCTGTCGTCGTTATATACGTTAAACCACTTAAATTGACCCGGCCATGCAAAACCGCAGAAGTATAATGTTGCGCCTAAGAAATGAGGAATAAAATCGAACTCCCAGGAACCATTGAAGGGGATCACTTTCTTACCAAGATCATCGTCCTTGGATTTGCAGTGAAGGGTAAGCGTGAACAACGTTCCGTTCAGTTGCAAGAAATTTTTCACTCTTACATGTCTTCTTTTCCGATGAATACTTATACCTGCATCGCACAGGGTTATTGTAAGCAAAAACAGCACTAGCACAAGATTTCTTGTGAACAAAGCCATGCTAGGTATTGCTTGTTGGTTTGAAAAGTTTTATGTGGATGTGAATTGAAACATCAAGGATACGTCGTATATATACTCGACAGGTTCCGTGTGCTCTCAACGTTGACAGTGCCTGATTTCCACTGTTATGGAAAGTTTAAGATAAATATGGAATGCTATTTGCTCTCAATTCTATCCACACAACGATCAACTCCCTCTACCCTGATTTCATCACCATCCATCATGCCTTTCACCAGCTGTGTCAACTGTTTCATTTTTTTCTTATTATATTGGTTCTTTCTATATTAATCACACATAATTGTAGGTAAGGAAAGCAACAATTATTTTTACAAATTAGTAAAACAAGTAAAAGGGAAACAGAAAGATCTCCTTTGCTAATCATTCCATGTATACATATATACTAGATACTTGGTACATGCATACGGGTCTATCTTTATCTTTTTCAATGCATCATGCAATTTTGAATCAAAAAGTGGTATTCCTCTTCACTTGTAAGTGAGAGGTCGTAGGTTCAATTCTCGTCAAAAACGAATTTGAACCACATTATTCATAGCCCGTTATAAGGCTAAGCTCACATCATTCCCCTTAGTGTAGATAATATCGTTTATTAAAAAAAAGTTCAAAACTTGATTTTTTTTTTTTTAAAAATGGTATCACAGACCACTCCAATATGAATGCCCTAACAGTAGTCAAATATAAGCCCTATTCCCTCGTTTCCTTTCCTCCTCTCATACTTTGTTTTTTGTTTTTTGTCTTTATAAAAAATTAATACAAAATATCAATGTGATTTAATCTTAATCATTTAAATAGAAGGAAAAGAAAAGGAAAGAAAAAAAAAAAAAAAGGAGAGAATCTTCCTTCTATAGTCGGGCTGCTTGTCATCTCTATCATGTCTCTAGTGATCCTTGTGTGGGTCCACGACCTAATATACTCGTATAACCAACGAAAATGTCCTGGACACGTGGAGGGTGGTGATGCACCATCGGGATCGATAAATGTTAGTTTGACAGGCATGTTCTTGTGAGGTTGCAAGAGCATTTCTAATGGAGATTTAAAATGTTAATTTAATAGTTTATATGGTCAAATTTTCTCTTCTTCCAATACATATTGTTATAATAATATTTGTATCTCCTACTTTTAATAGGAAATCAGGATCGATAAATTTTCATGATTTGCAATTGATGCATTAGTGGGACACACAACAAAACAATCAGAAAAATAATTGACAGCTCATAATTCAAAATTGGCAGCAAAAAGTTCTTATATCAATCCAAGTAGTTTTGACTCATCCGTTAAAACTTATTATTACCTAAAATTTAAATGAATTTTAACGAAAAACTCCAAATACTGTTCATTTTAACGAAAAATCATATTTTTACATTAAAAAGTAAATTCTGGTACTATTTATTTTACCCTTTATTTTGTTCTTATCGTTAAAACTCAAAGTTTTCAAGTTATTTTTATTAATTTTTCTAAAATTTAATTGTGTGATATGTCACTTCAGATTTGACATTTTTTTTTAAATGCTCATGGTGGAGTAGAGGGTAATTTTGGGATGTTGCGGTCATTATCTTTTATTCTTGGGCTGAAGTGAACAACAGCGTACACGAATAACAGAGTAAAAATGTATCATGTCAGAAACGGCCCAATGGATTTGTAAAGAAAATAATGGGCCCAAATCGGATTTGATCCAATATGAAAAGTTAATCTCAATCGGTCAAGTGAAGAAAAAAAAATAGAGTAAATTCAATATACGCTTGCACAATTTAGTTTTAGAAAATGATATTATCTACGTTAGAGGAGAAAGGTTTTTTACGAGAATCGAACCTAAAATCTCTCACTTATAAATAAAGAGAAATATCACTATTGTAATTGTTTATACCATATTTAGGACCTCTTATTTAGATCTCGTACAAATACTCAGGGAACTTAAATGTAATTATGTGATAAAGGAATGGGCAAATATGTAATAAGTGAGGAGTTCTTATTCTATAAAATGACCCCTCACCCTCACAATTGGAGGAGGTCAATTCCTAGGCCCTCTCACCCCCTCTCAAAGCTCTAACTCTCAGAGCTCTCTCCCTCAAATAAATACATAATCAGTGTGGACGTAGCCCAAATTTTAGGGTGAACCACGATGCATCTTGTGTTATTTACATTTCTTGCAGATTCACGGTCGGATTTACGTTGTTCCAAAACCTCCGGTTTTGTGCATCAACAGTAATACTAAATTAAAATAATAATAAAATACTGTAGTACTAATTAAACCACCTAAATATGTTCAAAGTAATTAAGTCCTGGATTTCAGTTAGATTAATTAAACTTTATTACTTGGAGAAACATATTGAGCTTCCAACTTGCAATTTGAACATTCACGACCCGAGTAGGAAATAGTAAAGTTGGATAATTGAGAGCAAGCAAAAAGTTTTGCGTATGAAGACAATCTTGAAAAAGAGTAACACAAAAGTCATCATTTTTTTCAGTAGGTGGTGCCCGATCCAACGTGGAATTTGATTGAACATTTCGTCTTTATGGGAACGTGGGAGGAGAAGCATGAATTTGAAAATGGGGTCCTGTAGCCCCAAATTATTGAGAGTGATGTTACATAACCAATTGTTCATCTATAAGCTCTATGGTTAAGTAATTGTTAAGACTGTATGAGACAAATGTAAGTTCGGTTAATTGATCAGTGTAAATGTTAAAATCTGTAAGTGTCCCAACTACGAGGATAGCATTTTTAGTTGTTCATGCAAAGAAAACACTCATAAGCTTAAATATGTACTTAAAAAAAGTAGAACAATATCGTAGGTTTTCTCCTACTATGTTGATTGTTCTTTTTATAAGGAATGGAGTCTTGGGCTCCAAACCCCGTGTTTCTTATCTCGCTTTAACTTGTTACTTGAGGCTTAACTTTTGCTCCCGCGATCAAGGTAATGTCTTCTCATTACACTCAAGTTTGGTAATCCAATCAATTATAGTAATTTAGAATGCGCTTAATAGAAAGAACAAATGCAAAACACTTTCAGTGAGTAAATATTTTGACCTATCCATCGATTCAAATTAACAATTTATGACAAAGAGAACCGTGGGAAAAAAAATACCAACCACTAAAATGGTAAAGAAAGATACGTTAGAGCACCTTCAAAAGATGCTCTAAAGCAAACAAAAATCTATTTTAAAGAGCCAAACTCAAAAACTTCATCTCTACGAGATGTTGTAAAAGATTCTCGATAACAATAAAATGAACAACCGCTCTTTAAATTTACAAAGCAACTATTAATCAACTAAATATTGAAAAAGTAATAAAACTCAAGAGTTGACCGTTAAGAGAGAAGAAAAGCAAGAGAGAGAATGGTGTTTTTAAAAAATGAGCAGATTGAGTTTGAATTGTTAATAATAAAGGGAGTTTTAAAGAAAAACTCACGGTACTGTTTACTTTAACGAAAAATCATATTTTTACACTAAAAAGTCAAACCTTGTACTATTCACTTTACCCTTTATTTTGTCTTTATCATTAAAACTCAAAGTTTCCAAGCCATTTTCATTAGTTTTTCTAATAATAAACCATTTAAAATTTGTTAAAATAAAGTGTTGTTGGAAGTGAAAAAATTAAACATAATAATTTTTTGATGCTATTTACTAACTAGCTTAACAGAAAGTTCAAAATTGCTCTTGAAAATGCTATTACATGCATGACGCACCCAAATTCAGACCCAAACCGAACCCATATCTGTTGGATGTAGGGGTGGGCACGGTTTGGTTTGGTGCGGTTTTGAGTGAAACCAAAACCGAAACCAAAATTGTTTGCGGTTTGGTTCGGTGCGGTTTTGAAGCCAAAACCGAAATGAAACCAAATCGTTTGGTTCGGTTCGGTGCGGTTTCAAACGGTTTCGGTTTGGTTTTTAAGAAAAAATGTACAATTTGAAATTAAACATATTAATAAGCATTTCCCAGTAGCAATAGGAAAAAGACATTTGTTATATAAACAATTAGCATGTTGCATGCAGTTGTGATGTTAAAATATGTTTGTGCAACAAAAAGGTGTCCCGTACAAAGTATAACATAAAACAAGTTGAATAACTTTGAATTCATTAAACATGAGTGAAACTTTCATACTAGAATATGTGATATCATGCTTCAAATAAGTGGACTTCATTAGATCATTGTTCGACTCTTGATAACAAGATTAGTCCACCCTTGTACATATATGTGTGTGTGTGTGTGTGATGGTATAAATAACAAAGGTCCTTGAAGTTAATGAACGAAAGAAAGTGATGAATGATGATATTCCAGTGTGGTTGTGTCCATACTAAGTGTATGGATTCTAACAAACAACCAATTAAAACATGAAATTTAATATGGACATTTAATTAAATGTTTATTAATATTTGCGGTGCGGTTCGGTTTCGATGCGGTTTTCAAAAGCCAAAACCGAAACCAAACCGTTTTCTATGTTGCGGTTCGGTTTCAAAACCAAAACCGTTCCAAAACCGCAAAACCAAACCATTCGGTGCGGTTCGATTTGGTTCGTGTTTCGGTTTCGGTTTTCGGTTCTAAGTGCCCACCCCTAGTTGGATGTAACTTCTCACTCACATGCATGACCCGCCCACATGCATGACCCACCCAAATTCAGACCCAAACTGAACCCATGTCCAGGCCCATTTGAACCTCACATTTCCAACCTTTATAAAAAGCCACAAAATCATACAGTCTCTCTGTCTCTCTCTCTCTCTCCCCTCTTTGTTTGTGTTCTTCCATTCCTCCTCTCTCAGCGATATGGCTCAGGTGCTTTCTAAATTTAACTTGCTTTTTCTTATTCAATTTAGCTTCACCTATCATGCTTACAATCCCTTCAAGCATATGCATATACATAAGCACATCAGATCATAGATCATAATCCTTCCTTTTGTTTTCTGTAATTTTTGTGTGAATTTTGTAGCAGAAGGCGGTCCTGAAGGTCCTGACCATGACCGATGACAAAACAAAGCAGAAAGCCATTGAAGCTGCCGCTGATATTTTCGGTATTTCTTTTCATTTATCTTTACTCAGTTTTGTTTATATCTTCAATAGTTCAATAATATAAAAAGAAATTCTCAAAATTATACGGTTCTGTTTGGATATCCTTCTTTAAAGCACTTATATTCACAAACGCCACTTTTAACTTTTTTCTGCCAAACATTGTCAGAAGCACTTTTGTTATTAAACCTAATTGAAGCTTCTTGATTTCTCTCTTATTTATTTTGTTTTTGGGTTATTTCGTGAACAGGGATTGATTCAATCGCGGCAGATATAAAGGACCAGAAGCTGACAGTAGTAGGAATGATGGATCCAGTGGCTGTAGTGAAGAAGTTGAAGAAGGTCGGGAAAGTAGACATAGTATCTGTCGGACCAGCCAAGGAAGAGAAGAAAGAAGAGAAGAAAGAAGAGAAAAAAGAAGAAAAGAAAGAGGAGAAGAAAGAGGAAAAGAAGGAGGAGAAAAAGGAAGAAAAGAAGGAGGACAAAAAGTAAATAAAGAGTTACCAAATTTTATCTCTCATGGTAATATTTTCTCCTTCTAAGTTAGCAGTTATGTACGATGGTTTATCATATACAGGGAGAAGGAAAAAATGGTGAAATATTCATAATCCAAAAATTGCCATTTCTCATTAAATTTTCAAATAAAATAAGAATTCACAAAAAAAATCCATTCCTGTAACTAACTTTTATCTTTTCAAAAAATATATTATTATTTGGATATTATCAAGCAAACAATGTAGCATTGAAGCAAATGGCTTTGGTGGAGGGACACTTTTTTTGAGCGATATTACTTCAATTTGATATTTGTACGGTGAGAGTGGTTTTTGATTTGAACTCAAGTGACCAAAAAAGAAAATGTGGTCTAACAATGTGGTTACGTCCAAGTTTGACAGTGAAGGAGTTGATACGATTGTCAAATTTTTCGCGTTTGAAATTAAGAAAAAGGTGCAAAGAATATGATGGCTGGCGTCATATTTTGTGGCGGCTACCAAGCGATGAGTACACGCCCACTTGAAAGGGAATTGCATGAATTTGACTTAATGATTCTTTTTGGTGCATGAATGTGATTGATTATTGCACAAAACTGTTGAGTTTTGCACGTATTTTATTTGCTGTATTAATTATTGAGATGGGTTTGGTGGAATCGAGAAATTTTTAGTTGTGACAGAAACACGGATGATACATCATATGTTTTTATGCAAATGGTGAAATTTTTTTATTTTTAAGTTATTAACCTTTTAACTTATATAACCCACCATTTATATAGGGATACGTGATGTACCACTTCGTATGACGGTCACATTGAAAAAATCTTTCGGTGGAATTAAGCATTGAATTATATAATTTACATCATTGTTGAGCTGGAAATGAAGTCATGCGCCATGCCTATTTTGTTTGTTGATTTTTGTACCGATTGCATGAAACGAGTCTCATACAGTCATGAGTATGCTATTTTTATGGTTGTAGCAAACATGCGAGACCTGTTTCATACGACTAGTGCCAAAAGGTTTTGCGTTTGATTACAACCTTGGGAAATTAAGGTAATATATTTGGATATTTGGTTTTGTTAAGGAGAGCAGGTGAAAAGTATATAATCTTGTTTTTTAGAGCAGTATAGTGGGAAAATTCAACAACTCTTTAGGGTATTCGTTTGTTATTGTTGTTGCGATGTGATGCTTAACATGCGATAACTACAAACAGCAGGTGGCCAGCCATGTCCAATGCTATAGATTCTTTCTTTTGGAAATAAAATACTTACCCGTATGCTGGAATAGGAAACGTACAAAATTATATATAATAAAATAGGCCCAAAAAAGTGGTGGTGATCATTTTAGTTAAATTGTATAAACTATGAGTGACGATTGCAGAAAATAGATTTGGTTTCAGTTAAATGCGAAGTATATAAAATATAGAATGCGCGTGGGAAATGGAAAGCAATACAACGATTTGATCTATCAAACTGTCCGTCCATTGCTTCATGTAACTATTAATGAAATATGTATGCAGGTATGCGTGTGTGTCCGAGAAAGATTACAAAAATGACATGAAAAGAGAGACCAGGAAGCCGAAAGAGAGGTGGCGAGTGAGTGCAAAGGGACAGGGAATGTGTTTCGAATACTAAGTCTAAGTGAAACCTCCAGTACTCTGTCTATGTTCTAATGCGAGCGTTGCCACTTCTCGTAACCAGTATAATCACAGCATAAGTACAACACACAACAAAGCAAAACACTTAAAAAACAACTGTTTATCTATATGGATCATTTCACACTAGATAAATAAGATAAAAATATTAGGTCTTCTCTTTCACCTTCAGAGACAACTGATACAAGGTGTGGGTTCATGGTGTAACTGAGGATACCCTGGAGCTACATATTGTTGTTTCATGAGCTTCACCAAGCTTTCCAGCATTTTGTAAATAACTTACTAGGGTGCTATACATAGTGAAATTTGGATTACAGGATTCCACAACTTTCCTAGCCATGCCTGCCTAGAAGTGCTGGGGAAATTATTACTTGGACCTAATTAAGGGATAAGGGGTCTGTAGCGACTTTGCGATGGAATTTTTGTATATGATTTTCTACAGATTGTTGAGGACATCAGATTGTAGACTATTCATGGCCATTTGCATGTCATGGCAATGTATGATAATAACAGAAAATGTAAACGTGCTAAGTTTACAACTCCATTGCTCTTGGTTTCGGAAAATGAAAATGATACACGGAACGCAGTCCATGCAATTAAGTTCAAAAAAGCGATATTGTGGATCTTCAAGAGGACGGTTAATAACAATGGATGAAAATTCTGTAGGAACCCTAATAATTTATTAATTTGGGTTCAAGGTAGAAGAAAAGGTCCCCCACTGAAGCCTAAAACTGGTGGTTGGGCTAAACATCATGACTACTTTGTGGTCAAGGCTACGATTTCACCAGACCCAATCTTAAACTCCAATGACTACATTGTTATGGTTATGTATGTGAGTGATAGTGAATTGCTCTATTTCTTGTGATAATGATTCAATATCTGTTGTGGCTTCAATGTATTCTAGATGTGGGTCGAAAAAATGACGACGACACGACAAGTGCTTGGTTCATTTAAGGATTTGAGATGTACAATGTTTAAAGTAAAAAAGTTTCAAAACCTCACTTGTTAAGATCCTGTCAATTGTTTACATATAACATGCAGAAAGAATTTATCATATTTCTTAACTTGCCACTCAAAAAATTAATTTGAGCTATGTTGGGAACATTTGGCATCACGGTTTGATAGATATATTAGTCTCGCAACATGAGATTTTTTTAATTTTTTTTTAATTTTTTTTGTAAGGACAATCAACCATAACTCACCCATGGCTTTATTATTTGCAATCACCTTACAATCAACCTAATTCACCTATTATTAAGGCAAATGAAACTATTAGCAATACATTCACCTCTAACATCATATAAGTTCTAAATTTTTATACAGTGAAAAGACGGTAATGCCCTTCGCTGTTGCTGGTTCTCAACTTTAATTTTCTGTATTGCACAGTGAAATGACAATTTTACCCGTGTTGATCATCGCGTAATGGGAAGCAGGATGCAAAAGCAGAAGATAGCTCTCTCTCCCTCTTTCTCAAAGGTTCCTCAGTGCTCCATTTTTCGATAGCCTTCCTCAGCGTTTTTGTCCTCGCGCTCCATGCGTCTCTTCTCCTCTGCTTTCGCGTTGTTTGGATTGTTCTTCGCTATCGTGTTTTGCCATTTTTTAACCCTTGGTGGCTTTTCTTTTGTTAATCTTTGTGTTCGCGGTTGTGGAGTCATTTTGCAAGGGAAAAATTCATCGGCCGGTCAAGGTTATTTAGCTTGGTGGGTTGGGTTGTACGGGTCTTCAGCTTGGTGAATGTAATTTCTCCTGGTGAGTTGTTTTGGTTTTTTTACTGTAGGTTTTTGGTTTTATTTTGTCTGCTTTTAGATTTTACCAGTGGGTTTCTTATTGAGAGATGTGTTTTCAAAATTTTGGGCTTTTGTTGTTGTCGTCAGTTTTTTGGTATGAGATTTCGATTCTGTTCCGTGTGTGGTTTAGTCATCTAGGAAAAGAACCAGGTTTCATGTATGGGTGTTCGCTAATCAAACAGAATTCAAATATAGACCACACTTATCCAATGAAATTTGATTGGAGGTTGGTTGAGTGTGGTCTATATTGTATGGATCCTTTGTATTTGAAGCAAGATTTTGATAAAATTTGAGTATTTTTTGCAAGTGACTACTTTTGTGTGTTCCAGCACTCTATGCATATTTTTTAATAACGTACCAACAATTAGGTTTCCATAATCTTAATGATTTGCAAAGATGTGTTCCAATTAGTCTGTGAACTTCACTATTGTATAATATTTCAATTAGTTGAATATATTTTTTAACTAATTTTAGTATCAGAGTGTTTTGAGTATCTGAGTAAGATTGTGAAAGAAAAGGAGATTGTGGAACTTTCATGATTGAGATTTGTGATTTTATGTATTAGTTAAATTCTAAATTTTTAATTAAGTTCACTCATATATTCACATTCCTTTGTGCTTTTGTTTTCCCCAATTTTCTCCCATGTAGCCTGTACTCATGCAGTTCCAACTTTTCTACAAGCTCGATACTGTGAAATGAACCTTTCTGGTCAATAAAAAGGTATAATTTTTCCCCACTTTTGTGTATATTAGTGCTTTTTGTTATGATTTAATGAGTTCGTGTTTTTTGTTGCTTAAGTAACATGAGAATATGTTTCTATTACCATGGATTACAATCAACTATCATTTTTACATACTTCACATTCCTTTGTGCTTTTGTTTTCCCCAGTTTTCTCCCCTGTAGCCTGTACTCATGCAGTTCCAACTTTTCTACAAGCTCGATACTGTGAAATGAACCTTTTTGGTCAATAAAAAGGTATAATTTTTTCCCACTTTTGTGTATATTAGTGCTTTTTGTTATGATTTAATGAGTTTATGCTTTTTGTTGCTTAAGTAACATGAGAATATGTTTCTATTACCAACTATGGATTACAATCGACTCTCATTTTTACATGTTTGTGCCTATCCATGTGACTTTTTCAATTGATTCAGCATGTTGTTATATAATATCTTCTTTCTTAGGTTCTTCAAGCATTTAGCTTCTTAGAATATCATTTTTCATATGGTTCCCTTAACATGCTCTGCCTCAATTTTACAGAGTTCTTACATTAGTTTTTTCTTGCCCCTTTTTAACTCTTGACATGATTTCATCATGTTGGAAGAGCCCTTTTCAGAACATATGTCAAGGGTCAACTAAAACTTAACAGATTTATATATGTATTATTAGCTAACTCTTAATTATGATGCCGTTAAAAAAATTAAGGATAAGTTGAAGGGTTTGAAAGAAACTAAAGTCAAATTAATTTGAACCAACCATTCACTGCAAAATGATATATTTTTAGGTGTATTCACAATAAAAAGTACTATAATGACTGGTATATGTGGTTTATATTTTCTATAATTTTTCTTATAGTCTATTGTGCCTTGATCTAATTACTTTCTTGAATTCAATATGTTTTTGTAGAAACTTGGTTCTAAGGCAAGTTGGAAATGCACAAAAGTTTGATTGCATCCTATAGAATTACCAGAGGTGGTCATCTCCATTTCATGCAACATCAGACTTCTTTTTACACACAAAAACAGTAGATAAACACGCATTACCCTTATTTTGTTCATGATATAATTCTACTGCCTATAAATTTATTTCAATTTTTTTTTCCTCACCAGAGATACTTCCTTAATGACCAACATAGCAGAGAAAATGCCCCGCAATTGGTCTTCAACGTTCTTTTTTTCACAGTAAAATGGCGGTTTTGTCCTCCTGGCCCACGCGTCTCTCATCCGTGTGCCATTAGGTTCGATCTTCTTTTACTGTTCCTCGCTTGGCACGCGTCCATCGTCACTGCCGTTTCTGTTTCAGTTCTTTGCTTTTTCTTTCTTTGCTTTCCATTTCTCTTCTCTCTCTCGCCCTCCTCTCAAGTGTTTTGCAAGCATTTCTCCCTTTCTCTTTGTCGCCACGGTCTCCATCACTCTTAAACCTTCGTTTCTTCTATCCCTGTCAAATCTTGGCTTGCTAGAAAAGTCTGAAGCAGTATAAGCTTCTTCAGCTTTTTGATTTGGATTGAAGATGATTTTAAGCCAACAAGGTTAACGTTTTCTGGTAAGTTGAATCCTACATCTCGGAGTTTTTATTTTTATTTTTTCAAATCTATGGGTTTTGTTTTCTTCAATTTAAAAATATTAAAAATTGAATCTTGTTTTTTTGGGTAATATTTTTCAATTAGATTATGGTATGGGTTCTGATGAGGCATGGAATTGGGTTTGAGAGTTTTGATTTAATGAGAGAGATAAGGGTGAGGGAAAAACAGGAGAGAAGGTATGTGTGCGCTCGTATATTCCTATTTCCTTGTTTCCTTGTATATTCCTATTTCCTTATTTCCTTATTTCCTTATTTCCTTTAGGAAATAGGAACAAGTAATTGAGGATACGGTACACCTATAAATAAAGGGTTTAGCCTATTTTCTAAAGCACATCTATTCAACCTTCAATTGGTCTTCTGATAAAGCATCAATCTTCTCTATCTCGAGTCTCAACCCAGAAAACAGAAAACATCAATCTTTTCAAATCTTCTGTAAAAAAATACACCTCTTCTATTTTTTCATCATGCAATCAGGTATATGCTTTTTTATGTTGTTCTTATGTTTTTTTACCGAAATTATCGAATTGTGCACTGGTTATATACACAAAGGCTAAAAAGCTTAATCTTTTCCTAGTTTCTTGTTATACCATTCCACAAAAACTATAACTTTTATTATCATCGGCAACTGATCTCTGATGTTTTTTTCTTTTTTGCTTGTCAGATTGGGCGAACTTGCCAACAGATGTTTTGTCTTCGATTTACGACAGGTTGCCTGTTGCATCAGATTGCGTACAATTCATGGCCGTTTGCAGGTCATGGCGGTGTATGAAAAAGGACAGAAAATATAAACGTGCTAGGTTGACAACTCCAATGGTCTTTGTTTCTGAGAGGAAAGAAAATACATGGAATGCATATGATTTTGTGAACAATCAAGTCTTTGGTTTTCAATTAAAATTACCAAAGGCGCGATTTTGTGGGTCTTCCAACGGATGGATAATAACAGTGGAGAATTTTGTTGTAACCCTAAGGAATCCACAATATGATGTTAAAGGGAGGACAGAGAGGCCTTCAATCATTCGTCTTCCTCCACTAAAACCTCAAATTAATTACAAAATAAGAGGTTATGCTAAAGCTCATGCAGACTATTTTGTCATCAAGGCTACGATGTCGGCAGACCCGATCTCAAACTCCAAAGATTGCATTGTTATGGTTCTGTATGAGCCTCTTAGTCAATTGGCTTTTATTAGGCTTGGTAGAGACACAAGGTGGACTTATATTGATAAGCATGGTGATGAAATCTATTCGTGGATTAAAGATGTTGTTCTAATTGAAGATAAGATTTACGTCGTCGATAGTCAGAGCAGACTTTGGGCTTTTGAATCTACATACAAATCCACCGTAGATGTACAATTGGTTGCTACTGGAATAGCAGATCGACCTCAGAAAATGTATCTTGTCGGTTCAAAGAAGAAAGGACTATTGATGATTTACAGATTTAGTGAGTATCGACGGTTTACCCGCGAGTCGAGGAAGTTTAGAATTTATGAATTGAGTTCTAATGACGAGTGGATTGAGAAAAACGACTTAGGTGATATTGCTTTGTTTGTGGGAGATAACGATTCAGTATCTGTAGTGGCTTCAATGCATTCAAGATGTCAGTCAAACTGCATATACTTCCTTAATGACAACGATGGTATACATTGTCAGCATACATTTGACGACTTCGGGGTGTATAATGTCAAAAGTCAAAGCGTTACAAAACCTGCACGTTTGAGGAACCCAGTGAAAAGGACGAGGTACCCTCCATTTATGTTTCAACCAACTGTTTACATGTAACAGTTTATTATGTCCCTTAGAATATTATTTTAAAGTTAATTTACTTGGAACTCAGGAATAAGGGGTATGTTGTTCTTCTCTCTGAATTTACGCCCTTTGTCTTATCAGATTGGGCGACTTTGCAATGGAACTTTTGTATATATTTTTGATGTATAGTAGACGATTCATGGCCATTTGCATGTCATGGCGTTGTCAGATAAAGAACAAAAATTTGTAAACGTGATAATTTGACGACTCTGTCGCTCTTGGTTTCAGAAAATAAAAAGGATACATGGAATAAAGTCCATGCAATTAAGACTTTTAAAAAAAGTGATTTTGTGGATCTTGAAAAAGATGGTTAATAACAATAGATGAAAATTCTGTAGTAACTCTAATAAATTTATTAATTTGGGTTCAATGTGGAAGAGAGGCCCCTTCACCGAAGCCTAAAACTGGTTGTTGGGCTTAAACATCATGATCATTTTGTCTTCAACGCTAGGATATCAGCAGACCCGATCTTAAACTCCAAAGATTTGAATTGTTATGGTTATGTACGTGCGTGATAGTGAATTGCTCTATTTCTTGGTGACGACGATTCAATACGTGTCGTGGCGTCAATGCATTTCATATATGGGTCGAAAAAATGACAACGATCCGATTGGTGCTTGGTATTCATTTTAAGAATTTCGGGATGTATAATGTTAAAGTAAAAAAGTTACAATGACTTGTTAAAACCTTGTCAGTTGTTTACATGTAACCTGCAAAAAGAACTTTTGGCCGGAACCTTGTCAGTTGACTCACCCATGGCTTTATTTGTTTGCAATGTCACTTACTGCCCTTAACGGAACCTAATTCATCTATTATTAACGCAAAGAGTAAAATACCAATTCCTCATGAATTTTCACTTGGTTTTCGATTTTCCCCCTAAATTTTTTAATTAGAAAATTAATGACTTAAACCAACTTTTTTGGTCGATTCCCCCTACCTTTAGTTTTTCATAGATTCCATTAAAAAAACTTTAACTCTTATCACATGCACACCACGTGACACTCATTTGTAGACAAAAGCATCACTTCACTAGACCTTTAGACACAAAAGTTATAGAATCACACATATTTGCACAGGTCAACATTTTAGAAATCTAGGGTTTTCAATTATTTTAAAGATTGAACTACTCTCATATGTTGTTCACATGCTCCCGTTTAACAAAAAATTAAATGAAATTAATGAAAAACTAACAGTAGGAGGAAATCGGCCAAAAAAAAATTAGTTTGAGTACTTAATTTTCCAATTAAAAAGTTTAGGGAGAAAATCGAAAGTTAAGTAAAGTTGATGGGGGAAATTAATAGTTTACTCTAAAAGCAAATGAAACTACTAGCAATACATATACATTCACCTCCAACATCATATAAGTTCAAGGAAATCATCGTTTGGTTGTTCTAATTTATTTTTGAAAGTACATATACAAAATGTAAACACCAGTATACCAGTTGAAATTTCAAATTAATATTTTCATATTATCGAATTAAATTTTCAACCCTAGCAAATGGACTACAAACCCATTGATTTGGTCCTAAACAGTTACATACTAATAACGGGACTCACTATAGACTTTTAATATCAGCGTAAATAACAGGATATTTTCTCGATTTTTTGTTGTTGGCTACTGAGTCGTTACACTGCTTTTAGTTGGTTGCTGTTGAAGACTGAATAATGATACTAGGATTACCTCATTTCATGTGGAGATTGAACAATTCTTTATAGAGTAAAAAATTTAGGTAGGATATGGTCTTAGTAAATTGTGTAGTGATAATAAAACCACCCAGTACACGTTCGTTTGTTTGGGTTTTTGTTTTATGTGTAGGTGGGCAAAACCCACAATCAAATTACATTGAGAAGCGTTTGTAGGTTTGTTTCAGTTTTTCTTTTTCATTTCTCTTCTAATGTTTTAAAAATGTTTAATAATTTTTTTTTAAGATTAAGTAACTAAAATCTCCTAACGTTTTTGTATCATTCCAAATTAATCTCAACTTTTTTCAAACAAGTACATCACCTATAGAAAAATGTTATATCCCTTAAGCCCCAATTAGATTTCTGTTAAATTAAATAGGTTTACTTTGTCTCCAACATCAATAGAAGGTCATGAAACATGACTTCCACCAGGTATTGGTCACCATTTAAATTTTCATGGACGGAAAGAGCATTGAAACTGGGCACAAATTCCTCATATTTAGTTATGTCACTCTTGAAGAAAGCGAAATTGATGAATATTTCCGGTAAAGGCATCATTCAACATATTTGGATGATCGCAATCCAACTAACATACTTGCTAGCCGCACTACCACCTCGTAGCAGCAGCAACCACCCTTGTAATAATGCGGGTGCCGGCACAAATCCCTCTCTCAAAACTGCAGCTTCAATCAGTCAGACCTTCAGCCGTCGGTGTGAGAATCTCTAAGGCTGGGGCCCAATGTTTTGGATGTGAGAATCTTGACTTTATTTGGGACCAATTTTGGTTGATAGTTCATAGTTGGCCTTTGTATGCAAGTGAATGATGTAAAGTGACCAGGCAGAAAACGAGACATGCAGGAAAAACCGGTTACAAAACCCTAAAGTTGGACCAGCATGTGTATGTGTAGTATGAAGAAACATTCAAATTTGAGTAATTAATTTCCTCATTCATCTTGGAAGTTGAAACATTATTTATATACTAAAACCCAAACTCGGGTGGTACTGTTCATTAACAGTAAATTGACGAAAATGCCCCTCAATTTTTCTTCCTCTCCGTTTTGATGGTGAGTTTTTACAGTAATATGACCGTTTTGCCCTTTTGATTGTACGTGTCTTTCATCCATCCGTGCTTTTTTGTTTTTCTACAGTGAAAAGGCTATTATGCCTTTTTACTCCACCTGTCCGTCATCAATGCATGCTTGGGTTAGGTGTTCTGGACTTTTCTTTTGTCAAGCCCACGTGTTGGTCATCGCGTGGTACTTTGAGTGGGTTTTATTTTGTTCCGTTTTATTTCCTCTCACTTCCATCTTTGTTTCACGGTCGTTCTCACATGTTAAATCCTTTTTGCCTAAAAAATTCCTGCTTCGGGTCGTCGCGAATTTTCGTGTTGTTGCTTTCAGTCGGTGTTTTGTGCAATTCTGCAGCCTGCGGTTGCTTGGAAAATACGAAATCAATGTAAGGTTTTTATTTGCAACCTGTGAAGACATCTGTTTTTAAGGTGAAGATTTTTGAAATTATGTGCTTTTAATTCGAAGGATAGTGTGCTTGCTTATTGTTAATTATTTTTATTTCGTTTTGAATTTGTTAGTTTATCTTTTGTGCATCTAAGTGTATGATTCAATGTTTTAGACTGAATTTTTATGGTTTTGAGTTTGTGGGTTTTTTTGGGTGCATGAGAAAATGTTATCCAATGGTTTGATTCAACATTTTTCCTCAATCTGTTGCAACTTTGCAGTCGCTGCGCCCCTTTGTCAAACTTTGTTTTCTGTTTTTTATTTTTTCTGTGCTGCTTTTGTAAAATTGAAGTAGGAGTTTGACAGATGTTGATGAATCCCGCAGTTTATTGGCGAAGAGAACAACACCTTTTGTAATGTTTGTAGTCATTTATCCACATATTCATAAAGTGGTGTTATTTTTATGGATGATGGTTGTTAATCTTTTGTATTGTTAATTTCGTAGCGTGTGGGTTGCTTGGAGACCACCGGGTTATGCTTTTGTTCATTGGATCACGGTAGAGATGCAAAGGATGCAATTGGTGAATTAGATGGTATGTTTAATATTTGGTTGTTGATTTTTAATATTGGGTTTTCTTAGTTTATATCATTCGAATCCAGCATAAGGGAGAATCATAAGTTCATCAGCAACATTGTTTGTGACGTAGCATAATTAGATGGTATCTGTTTTGAGATGCATATTTCAAAATCTTCCTTATGCAACCTGTGATTTTTCACGAACTAAGACTTGATAACCACATAATATGTCTTGTACATGTGACACGATAACCACATAATATAATCATTCAATCTAAAAGAACTAAGACTTGATCCTATAAAAACAAACACATGTTTTGTGATGTATCCAAAGTTTTGAGAAAAAAAAAAGAGAAAAACACTTACTTAAAAAGCACCCTCTCCAAAATTAAGAACATAAACACACACTAAATTTTCTTAAAACTAAAAACTAGAGGTTCCAGGTTCGAAATATGTTGCTGGTGTGGAAGAAGCCATGTTTGTGGTCAGGAAGAGGTTGAAATGACTCTATGAATCTTCCTGGTCCCGAAATGAATATATAATCTTAATTTACCATCAATTATTTTTCTTTAAAAAAATATAAAAATAAAAAAGTGCCACTCACATGACCCTCATATAGTCTATTCCAGTCACGTGTCCCGGTGCGAGACACATGTGCGACTCCGCAAGACTTTCTCTGTGCACTCATCCAAACCAATCCAACATTCCATTTACCCCACAATACCGCTGGCGCGTAACCGTCATCCACCTCAGCGCGTACAACATAATATCTGCAGTCGTTTCTCAAGCGTTAAACCAGCATCCCTGCAACCACACCAATCTGTGTGCCATTAGGTCCGATCATCTTTTACTGTTCCTCGCTTGGCACGCGTCCTTCGTCGCTGCCGTTTCTGTTTCAGTTCTCTGCTTTTTCTTCTTTGCTTTCCATTTCTCTTCTCTCTCTCGCCCTCCTCTCAAGTGTTTTGCAAGCATTTCTCCCTTTCTCTTTGTCGCCATGGTCTCCATCACTCTCAAACCTTCGTTTCTTCTATCCCTGTCAAATCTTGGCTTGCTGGAAAACTCTGAAGCAGTTTAAGCTTCTTCAGCTTTTTGATTTGGATTGAAGATGATTTTAAGCCAACAAGTTTAGCGTTTTCTGGTAAGTTGTTTGAATCCTACATCTTGGAGTTTTTGTTTTTATTTTTTCAAATCTATGGGTTTTGTTTTCTTCAATTTTAAAATATTAAAAATTGAATCTTTTCTTTTGGGTAATATTTTTCAATTAGATTATGGTATGGGTTCTGATGAGGCATGCAATTGGGTTTGAGAGTTTTGATTTAATGAGAGAGATAAGGAGTATACTATACACGGAGAGAGGGAGGAAAACGGGAGAGAAGGGACCTTATTTCCTTATTTCCTTTAGGAAATAGGAACAAGTAATTGAGGATACGGTACACCTATAAATAAAGGGTTTAGCCTATTTTCTAAAGCACATCTATTCAACCTTCAATTGGTCTTCTGATAAAGCATCAATCTTCTCTATCTCGAGTCTCAAACCAGAAAACATCAATCTTTTCAATTCTTCTGTAAAAAAATACACCTCTTCTATTTTTTCATCATGCAATCAGGTATATGTTTTTTTATGTTGTTCTTATGTTTTTTTACCGAAATTATCGAATTGTGCACTGGTTATATACACAAAGGCTAAAAAGCTCAATCTTTTCCTAGTTTCTTGTTATACCATTCCACAAAAACTATAACTTTTATTATTATCGGCAACTGATCTCTGATGTTTTTTCTTTTTTGCTTGTCAGATTGGGCGAACTTGCCAACAGATGTTTTGTCTTTGATTTACGACAGGTTGTCTGTTGCATCTGATTGCGTGCAATTCATGGCCGTTTGCAGGTCATGGCGTTGTATGAAAAAGGACAGAAAATATAAACGTGCTAGGTTGACAACTCCAATGGTCTTTGTTTCTGAGAGGAAAGAAAATACATGGAATGCATATGATTTTGTGAACAATCAAGTCCTTGGTTTTCAATTAAAATTACCAAAGACGCGATTTTGTGGGTCTTCCAACGGATGGATAATAACAGTGGAGAATTTTGTTGTAACCCTAAGGAATCCACAATATGATGTTAAAGGGAGGACAGAGAGGCCTTCAATCATTCGCCTTCCTCCACTAAAACCTCAAGTTAATTACAAACTACGAGGTTATGTTAAAGCTCATTCTGACTATTTTGTCATCAAGGCTACGATGTCAGCAGACCCGATCTCAAACTCCAAAGATTGCATTGTTATGGTTCTGTATGAACCTCTTAGTCAATTGGCTTTTATTAGACTTGGTAAAGACACAAGGTGGACTTATATTGATAAGCATGGTGATGAAATCTTTCCATGGATTACAGATGTTGTTCTAATTGAAGATAAGATTTACGCGGTTGATGCTTGGAGCAAACTTTGGGCTTTTGATTCTACTTCCAAATCCATCGTAGATGTACAATTGGTTGCTACTGGCATAGCAGATGAACCTCAGAAGATGTATCTTGTCGGTTCAAAGAAGAAAGGACTATTGCTGATTTACAGATTTAGTGAGTATCGATTGTTTACCCGCGAGTCGAGAAAATTTAGAATTTTTGAATTGAGTTCTAATGATGAGTGGATTGAAAAAAACGACTTGGGTGATCTTGCTTTGTTTCTAGGTGATAATGATCCAATATCTGTAGTGGCTTCAATGCATTCAAGATGTCAGTCAAACTGCATATACTTCGTTAATGATAACGAACGTATAAACTGTCGACATACATTTGATGATTTCGGAGTGTATAATGTCAAAAGTCAAAACGTTACAAAACCTGCACTTTTGAGAAACCCAGTGAAGAGGACAATGTACCCTCCATTTATGTTTCAACCAATTGTTTACATGTAACAATTTATTATTTGTCCCCTAGATTATTATTTTAAAGTTAATTTATGAGATCTTGTTTGGAACGGACACAGGTACATGAACTAGTTGATAGTTGATATATATATTTTTTATTATTAAAAAAATTACAAAATCTAGTACAATTCAAGATAATCAGCTGATAAATTACAAGATGTTGGGAGAGGGCGGGAGGGAGGGGAGGTTCAGTGGATGAATTAGAAAGGGGAAAATGAGTTCAGGAAATAGCATCAATTGTAAGGTTCCGTTTTGGTGGAGACTTGTCTGTAAATTTATGTTTCAACCAATTGTTTACATGTAACAATTTATTATTTGTCCCCTAGATTATTATTTTAAAGTTAATTTATGAGATCTTGTTTGGAACGTACACAGGTACATGAACTAGTTGATATATATATATATATATATATATATATATATATATATATATATATATCAACTATATATATGACGCCAAATAAAATACGTGCAAAACTCAACAGTTTTGTGCAATAATCAATCACATTCATGCACCAAAAAGAATCATTAAGTCAAATTCATGTAATTCCTTTTCATGTGAGTGCATGGGGCGTGTACTCATGGCTTGGTAGCCGCCACAAAATATGACGCCAGCCATCATATTCTTTGCACCTTTTTCTTAATTTCAAACGAGACAAATTTGACAATCATATCAACTCCTTCACTGTTAAACGTGGACGTAACCACATTGTTAGACCACATTTTCTTTTTAGGTCACTTGAGTTCAAATCAAAAACCACTCTCACAGTACATATATCAAATTGAAGTAGAATATCGCTCAAAAATATTGTCCCTCCACCAAAGCCATTTGCTTCAATGCTACATTGTTTGCTTGATAATATCCAATTACATGCGTTTGCCCTTTTTATTAACATCCCATAAATTAAACTAGCCTATTGCCATAAGGTTTGTGACAATTGGTTTTTTTGATTTTTGATTTGAAAAAAATAGAAAAACAAAATAATAATATATTTTTTGAAAAGATAAAGTTAGTTACGGGAATGGATTTTTTTTGTGAATTTTTATTTTATTTGAAAATTTAATGAGAAATGGCAATTTTAGGATTATGAATATTTCATCATTTTTGCCTTCTCCCTATATATGATAAACCATAATACATAACTGCTAACGTAGTAGAAGGAGAAAATATTACCATGAGAGATAAAATTTGGTAACTCTTTATTTACTTTTTGTCCTCCTTCTTTTCTTCCTTTTTCTCCTCCTTCTTTTCCTCTTTCTTCTCCTCTTTCTTTTCTTCTTTTTTCTCTTCTTTCTTCTCTTCCTTGGCTGGTCCGACAGATACTATGTCTACTTTCCCGACCTTCTTCAACTTCTTCACTACAGCCACTGGATCCATCAGTCCTACAACTGTCAGCTTCTGGTCCTTTATATCTGCCGCGATTGAATCAATCCCTGTTCACGAAATAACCCAAAAACAAAATAAATAAGAGAGAAATAAAGAAGCTTTAATTAGGTTTAATAACAAAAGTGCTTCTGACAACGTTTGGCAGAAAAAAATTCAAAGTAGTTTTAGTTTTTTTTTTTAATTTTAAAACCCTTGTTTTCAATGAAGGCGTTTGTGAATATAAGTGCTTTAAAGAAGGATATCCAAACAGAACCGTATAATTTTGAGAATTTCTTTTTATATTATTGAACTATTGAAGATATAACCAAAACTGAGTAAAGATAAATGAAAATAAATACCAAAAATATCAGCGGCAGCTTCAATGGCTTTCTGCTTTGTTTTGTCATCAGTCATGGTCAGGACCAAAGAAGAAAAAATCGATAATATCGGCGATATCACACAATTAAGTGACATATCACACAATTAAATTTTAGGAAAACTAATGAAAATGGCTTGAAAACTTTGAGTTTTAACGATAAGAACAAAATAAAGGGTAAAATGAATAGTACAATAATTGACTTTTTAGTATAAAAATATGATTTTTCGTTAAAATAAACAGTATCGGGAGTTTTTCGTTAAAATTCCCTTAAATTTTAGGCAAGAATAAGTTTTAACAAATGAGTCATAATTACGTGGATTGATATAAGAACTTTTTGCTGCCAATTTTGACTTATGAGTTGTCAATTATTTTTCTGATTGTTTTGTTGTGTGTCCCACTCATGGTCCGAAATGCCGATAATATCGGCGATATATCGCCGATATTATCGGTTTTTAGGGGAACCAAAATTTTTTTCACTATCCAAATGGTTTTCGGGATAATATCGCGATATTATCGAAATTATCGATAATATCGGAATGGGAATACTCGGAGAAGAACGTCGGAGTTCGCCGAGTTGCAGAGACGAGAAGGAGAGGGAGAAAGACGAGGTTGCTGATGATGATGGGTGTGCGTGTGTGTATGTGGGTCTCGGACCCTCGGTGCAGAGAGAAAGGAGAGAGACGGCGGCGACGAGGGAGAAGTAGAAGCCGATCTGCCGATGTAGGTCTCTGTGCGTGTGTGTGGGAGTGGGAGAAGGATCGAGAGACCTTGGGTCTCTGTGCGTGTGTGTGTGCGTGCGATAGGTGCGTGCGTGCTGCGGTGCAGAGAAGAAAGATGAGGGAGATATGAGAGAAAGTCGAGAGGGAGACAGAAGAAAAAGAAAAGAAAACAAAAAGAAGAAGCAAAGAAGAAGGGAGTCACAGGGGAACAGAGAGAGAAAAGAGAAGAGCGGAGGGGGGGCTGCCACGTGGCCACTTCAGAAAGAAAGGGATCCAATGTTTTGGATCCTGATTGGGTAGTCAAAGAGGACCAATTTGATATATTAAAATGTTTAGGGGATAATTACACAAATATATCTTTATAAATGGGGGTGGGTGTTACATATTGCCCTAAAAAACTCCAAGTAATTACAACATCGTATTAGAATTTTAATTGATCCTTGTTAGATTTGGTTTAGAAATTCTATGTAATTTAGTGATTGTTTCATATTAGGTTTAGATTTGAATTTTTTACTCCATTCAGATTTTAAAGGATTATAATAGATTTAAAAATTTATGAATTTTGATGAAGTTTAATAATTTTAAAAACTTTTATGTAAAATTTTAAGTGAATTCCCTCAAATTTTCAGGGAGCGATTTGAGAATGTTTAAAATATTATGTGAAATATTTCTAATTTTTTCGAGTTTCCCAACTTTTTAAAAATCTCTTAGAATCAATTTCTAAATGAATACATTTGGAATGTATGAATTTCTTAAAAATCATGATCGAATACCCCTTAAACTTTAAAGAATCATTTAAAATCCTGATTAAATGCCCTTAGATTTTTAAGGAGAATTAAAATGTTTATAAGCCCCAATTGGATGTACCTCTTAATTTAACTAATTGACACAACACAACAAAACCAATTAAGATTACAAATTAACACAAAAGACGACTTGATGCGAGGTCATATCTAAAAAACTTGCCGCAATAAGCCCCAATTGGTGTGTTTAAACTTCTTTAATTAATTACTACATATTTTCTACACTCACAATGTTTGTCAGCTCGCTATATAATCAACTTGATAATGTTAAATCCATCATGCAATGCATTTCCTTCGAATTTTTTGTGATAAACTAATAGATAATTGACTAAATAAACATCCTGAAAAGTTTCAATAAAAATTTCTAAGTTTTTCTTACAATTTCCGTGGTTTCCATGTAATTTTTATCGATATCGATATTATCCCGATATTTCCATCGATATTTCCGTGTTTTCGGACTACCGATATTTCCGATATTACCGATATTTAATACCTTGGTCCCACTAATGCATCAATTGCAAATCATGAAAATTTATCGATCCTGATTTCCTATTAAAAGTAGGAGATACAAATATTATTATAGAGTAAACTGCCGATTTGCTCCCTGAACTATCACCCAACTTTCAATTTGCCCCCTGAACTTTTTAATTAGAAAATTAAGGACTTAAACTAATTTTTTTGGCCGATTTCCCCCCTACCGTTAGTTTTTCATAAATTTCATCCAAATTAACGTTAACTCTTATCATGTGCAAACCACATAACTCTCATTTGTGGACAAAAGCGTCATTCACTAGACCTTCAGACAGAAAAGCTATAAAATCACACATATTTGCATAGGTTTATATTTTAGAAATCTAAGGTTTTCAATTATTTTAAAGAATGAAGTGACCGAACTACCCACACATGTTGTGCATATGCTTCCATTTAACAGAAATTTGGATGCAATAAATGAAAAATTAACAGCAGGGGGCAAATTGGCCAAAAAAATTAGTTTAAGTCCTTAATTTTCCAATTAAAAAGTTCAAGGGGCAAATCAAAAGTTGGGTGATAGTTCAGGGGGCAAATTGGCAGTTTACTCTATTATTATAACAAAAACATGTGTTGGAAGAAGAGAAAATTTGACCATATGAACTATTAAATTAACATTTGAAATCTCCATTAGAAATGCTCTTGCAACCTCACAAGAACATGCCTGTCAAACTAACATTTATCGATCCCGAAGGTGCATCGCCACCCTCCACGTGTCCAGGATATTTTCGTTGGTTATAGGAGTATATTAGGTCGTGGACCCACACAAGGATCACTACTAGAGACATGGTAGAGATGACCAAGCAGCCCGACTATAGAAGGAACATTCTCTTCTTCTTTGTTTTCCTCTCTTTTCATTTCCTTCTATTTGAATGATTACGATTAAGTCATGTTAATATTTTGTATTAAATTTTTATAAAACAAAAAACAAAGTATGAGAGGAGGAAAGAAAATGAGGGAATAGGGCTTTATTTGACTACTGTTAGGGCATGCATCCATATTGGAGTGGTCTGTGATACCATTTAAAAAAAAAAATCAAGTTTTGAATTTTTTTTTTTTAACAAACGATATTGTCTACACTAAAAGGGAAGAGGTGAGCTTAGTCTCATAACGGGCTATGAATAATGTGGTTCAAATTTGCTTTTTACGAGAAACGAACATACGACCTTTCACTTACAAGTGAAAAGAAATATCACTTTTTGATTCAAAATTTCATGATGCATTGAAAAAGATAAAGATAGACCGGTATGGATGTGCTAAGTATCTAGTATATATGTATACATGTAATGATTAGCAAAGGAGATCTTTCTGTTGCCCTTTTACTTGTTTTTCTAATTTGTAAAAATAATTGTTGCTTTCCTTACCTACAATTATCCGTGATTAATATAGAAAGAACCAATATAATAAGAAGAAAATGAAACAGTTGACACAGCTGGTGACTTTGGAATGCAGGAATAAGGGGTCAGTTGTCTGCTTTTTCTTTCTTTGCTTTCCATTTCTCTTCTCTCTCTCTCTCGCCCTCCTCTCAAGTGTTTTGCAAGCATTTCTCCCTTTCTCTTTGTCGCCATGGTCTCCATCACTCTCAAACCTTCGTTTCTATCCCTGTCAAATATTGGCTTGCTGGAAAACTCTGAAGCAGTTTAAGCTTCTTCAGCTTTTTGCTTTGGATTGAAGATGATTTTAAGCCTACAAGGTTAACGTTTTCTGGTAAGTTGTTTGAATCCTTCATCTCGGAGTTTTTATTTTTATTTTTTCAAATCTATGGGTTTTGTTTTCTTCAATTTTAAAATATTAAAAATTGAATCTTTTCTTTTGGGTAATATTTTCCAATTAGATTATGGTAAGGGTTCTGATGAGGCATGGAATTGGGTTTGAGAGTTTTGATTTAATGAGAGAGATAAGGGTGAGGGAAAAACGGAGAGAAGGTATGTGTGCGCTCGTATATTCCTATTTCCTTGTTTCCTTGTATATTCCTATTTCCCTATTTCCTTATTTCCTTTAGGAAATAGGAACAAGTAATTGAGGATACGGTACACCTATAAATAAAGGGTTTAGCCTATTTTCTAAAGCACATCTATTCAACCTTCAATTGGTCTTCTGATAAAGCATCAATCGTCTCTATCTCGAGTCTCAACCCAGAAAACAGAAAACATCAATCTTTTCAAATCTTCTGTAAAAAAATACACCTCTTCTATTTTTTCATCATGCAATCAGGTATATGCTTTTTTCTGTTGTTCTTATGTTTTTTTACCGAAATTATCGAATTGTGCACTGGTTATATACACAAAGGCTAAAAAGCTCAATCTTTTCCTAGTTTCTTGTTATACCATTCCACAAAAACTATAACTTTTATTATCATCGGCAACTGATCTCTGATGTTTTTTCTTTTTTGCTTGTCAGATTGGGCGAACTTGCCAACAGATGTTTTGTCTTTGATTTACGACAGGTTGCCTGTTGCATCAGATTGCGTACAATTCATGGCCGTTTGCAGGTCATGGCGGTGTATGAAAAAGGACGGAAAATATAAACGAGCTAGGTTGACAACTCCAATGGTCTTTGTTTCTGAGAGGAAAGAAAATACATGGAATGCATATGATTTTGTGAACAATCAAGTCCTTGGTTTTCAATTAAAATTACCAAAGACGCGATTTTGTGGATCTTCCAACGGATGGATAATAACAGTGGATAATTTTGTTGTAACCCTAAGGAATCCACAATATGATGTTAAAGGGAGGACAGAGAGACCTTCTATCATTCGTCTTCCTCCACTAAAACCTCAAATTAATGGACAAATAAGAGGTTATGCTAAAGCTCATTCTGACTATTTTGTCATCAAGGCTACGATGTCGGCAGACCCGATCTCAAACTCCAAAGATTGCATTGTTATGGTTCTGTATGAGCCTCTTAGTCAATTGGCTTTTATTAGGCTTGGTAAAGACACAAGGTGGACTTATATTGATAAGCATGGTGATGAAATCTATCTGTGGATTAAAGATGCTCTTCTAATTGAAGATAAGATTTACGCCGTCGATAGTCGGAGCAGACTTTGGGCTTTTGAATCTACATCCAAATCCACCGTAGATGTACAATTGGTTGCTACTGGAATAGCAGATCGGCCTCAAAAAATGTATCTTGTCGGTTCAAAGAAGAAAGGACTATTGATGATTTACAGATTTAGTGAGTATCGACGGTTTACCCGCGAGTCGAGGAAGTTTAGAATTTATGAATTGAGTTCTAATGACGAGTGGATTGAGAAAAACGACTTAGGTGATATTGCTTTGTTTGTGGGTGATAACGATTCAGTATCTGTAGTGGCTTCAATGCATTCAAGATGTCAGTCAAACTGCATATACTTCGTTAATGACAACGATGGTATACAGTGTCAGCATACATTTGACGACTTCGGGGTGTATAATGTCAAAAGTCAAAGCGTTACAAAACCTGCACGTTTGAGGAACCCAGTGAAGAGGACGAGGTACCCTCCATTTATGTTTCAACCAATTGTTTACATGTAACAGTTTATTACTAGAATATGTTACCCGCGCGTTGTTGCGGGATAAAGAATTGTAAGAAAGATTATGTTTGAATGATATAAAAGAATGCTCATTGTGATAGAAGATTAATAATATTTACATTGAAAACGTTAGAAAGATGTTCACGTACCAAAAATTAAATAAAGCCGAGTTACAAAAAATCGTAGCTCAATGGAATACAACTTTTCAGCAAAGAATTGACTAAACCAAAAACCAAAAACATGAAAATCAAACTTTGAGAACCAATTCTCTTCCCAAGCTTCAAAATCGAATTCAATCAACTTAATTACACTGAATCAATATGCTAGGATCAACTCAAACAACCCAACACCCCTACATTTGGTAATACAGAACCTATTTGACCTCATAAAAATCAAATATGCATAGGAATAGAACATTTTCCAAAGTATAAAATCCAAACGAAATTTCTGACCTCTTCTTCTCCTTGAGCATTTTCAAAAGCTTTCTTGCAAATTGAATTGGCAACACACCGTTGATGCTGTTGATGTTGATATGTAGCTGTTTATCCAAGGAACACATAAAATAAAAACAAAGCGAAAGATAGTTATTTAGTGAGAGTCGATAATCTCATTTTTGCCTCAAGAGAAGCAAAATCGAAATATACAACTAACCAAAAATAAATTTTTAAAAAAATCTCTCTCAAAATGTGGAGCTACCTGATTAAGTGGGTTCTTTGGCATTCCATACTCAGCAGCTAGAAAACCAAAAACATGTCATGCATTGCAGAGAAAGTTAATGGGATAAACGTCATGTTTATCAATTATATTTGCATGATAGAAGCTGCTGGAATAAATTTAATCATATTCATTACCCAATCTGGAAAATTTAAAATGTAAACACACAAAAGATATACTTATTATATTTCTTTCTTTGGTAAGTGCTTCGCAGACAATCACACATTTTTTTCCTCTTATTTTGGAAGAAGTATACCATCTGCAATTTTGTTAAAATAAATAATATAATATAATATTAGAACAATGCCCTTAAACCATGAACATTTAATGTGGAGAAATTGGAAGTTGAAATAAGTGGAACATGGGACAGAGGAGCAAATGCAAAGAATATTGTGATCAAAATCGGAACTCAGTGAGACTTCAACAGAAAGATTAGTGGAAAATGCACTCACACACCAACTTGAAAGAAAACAGTGTCAAATAATTGTGTCAGGAATAGAAAAATGCAAACTTTGTATGGAAAGTAAAGATTTACTTGCAGACCGGCAGCAACAAAAGCAAACGGAATACAACAGGAGTTACTGCAATAGTGAGAGGGAGGGAGAGAGATTAAAGATGAGTGATCAGTTAAAGCTATAATTTTTTAAGCGTGTTCTGCAATATGAATCATTCAGTTATCACAATAACATGCTTGAAATAAACAATATCCATAATCGTGGTATAAAAGAAAAAAAAAACAGAGATGCAATATCACCAACATTCATGATTATTATCCAGAATCGCTAAAGTAAACAGAAAATCAAATTAACACCTCTCTATTTCTAATCCATCTTCATATTGTATTGTGATAAGGTTTATACTAAACAATGTTTCCACCAAAATTTAATAACAAAAAGATCACAGTAGAAGTTAACATGAGAGAAAGAGTTGACCTCTACCTCTTATATGTTGATCCTACCAATCCCCTGTATACTTTATCTCTTTTAAGTCCACCTGTTAAAAGAAGAAAAAAAACACAAAATTTGCAACACAATTTGAACAAAAACAGAGTTCTCAATTTGTGAAAACTTTAGTTTCATGTAAAGAAATTGTGTTCTAATTTTAGGGCTTAACTATGCAATATTTGGATTTGCATTTAGCTCAAATAAGTAAGATAAACTGATAAAGCAAAGGATAAAAACAAAATCTATATCGATTTCATTATCCATTCAAAAGGACATTTGAACAAAAAAGATTTTTATTCATCCAAAGAGAAACTAAAAAATTAGTTAACTAATCTTTACATTTGAATAGTGTACGTAGATAGTTTTCTTACCAATGCATCAACCAATATGCAGTGCAAATGAGAACATTGAATATCAGATTTGAAAACTTTTTGTCTCCACATTTTGCTAACACAAACTCTAAATTTTTTGCTAGCTTCAAATGGACCCAAACTTTGGATTGGAAATATACTCATTTCGATCTGAAATTGAAAATTTATATTTTGTTAGTCCAACAATGTATAAATGCATTCATGTAGCATGTCTCCAAATAACAATACTACCCATTCAAAAAGGCAAAAACAAAAAACTAAAGTGAAATATTAAAACTTGAAAAAGAGAGGTAAAAGAGTTTAGTTGCTTCCAAAAGTGCAAGCGATCAATTTGTTTTCTATGAAACTGTAAAAAAGTAGCATAACAAATAAGGACACGATGGATGATTTGTTTTCTATGGATATAGCTGATGTTGATCATAGTTTTGCTCAACATAAACAGAAAATATGGTAGCTTTCAACTACATTGCTACACAAACAGAAAATTTGTTTTCTATGGGGTGCCCCACCGAAACTTGTATAGAAACATATCACTCATGTTTCATGACCAACTTTCGATTGTATAAAAACAATCAAATAATCCTCAACGTTGAAAGAATAAAGGAAGAAGCAAAGTTTACAACAATGTCAGCAGTTGCTTCGATTAGTAAAAACAACATTATGCACATGTGTGGTTAAGGCTTCACTCTTTCGCATTATACCTAGGTATTAGGCTAGTCAATGTAATCATGAGTTTAGAAATTAATTGACCTCAACGTTGAAGCACATCTGCAAACATTCATAGCACATTGCAAATTGTTGCTCTGGGTCACCACCAATCAAAGACCCTGCCTGCACACATAAATATGTGATCATGAATGAATCTTTGATACAAAAATAAAATTATTCTCTTAGTTCCGTGAAAACAAAGTAACAGAACTTTTGCCTTACTAACCAAGTCCTTTTAATGTCGACAGATTCAATATTCACCCTATCAATCAACCTCGGAATAGCTGCTCCCAGAATAGGCAAACAATTTACCCTAAGCATGCAGAGAAAGTACTCCAGACCTACCAATACAATTATATGTATTAAATACAAATTGAACCTAATCAGATAATAAGACATCCATTTAAAGTTTTGTATCATCTCTATCTTACATGGACAGTCTCATTCTCCTCTGACATGTCTCCGTCGCAAAAGCAACTCAATCCCTTGGCAAAAGACCAAATAAGAAAACAAATAATTTTTTATCATCTTAAAAACCAAAAAAATGAAGACTCCTTACCAAGAAGATAAGTTCAATTTCATCACCCGAACTCCTAGCTTTCTTTGGAACACTCATTTTTATCCTTGAAAGTAACTCTTCAGAAAGGCAAAACCCTCTTGAGAAATCTTCATTAGCAGCAGCAGGGACCGTTCAAAGTTAAATCAAATAAAAAAGAACCCTTAACTAAAAAAGTGGAACAAAGAAATAAACAAATAACAAACCTCATAGCCAGCAAGGAATTGTATACTCTGTACTACAGCATGCTTCGAATTTGAAGTGCAGAAGATTAAAATCTCTAATCTGGAAAAAAAAGAAAAAAGAAAAAAAAAAAGTAACCAATCCCAATTGATTACCTCAGATAGTCTATTTCACATTCTTATACACATGACAAACCAAAAAGCATTCAAAACATATTGATAATCTAAAAAAAGCCCAAAAAAATGTTTAATACATTTTCTCAAACAGGTGGTAAGCACTGACAACAGGAAATAAAATCAAACACCACATCAATCCAAAACCCAAATTTTATTTCATTTTCTTCGCATCAGATCCCCAAATCAAAATGGATCTGACCCCAGAAGAGCTCCAATTTCTCAACATCCCAGATCAATTTCAAAAATTAAATAGATTTAAATTCGGATATAGGAAACAATGAATGAAAGAAATCATATAAGAAATATACATACACTGCAGAGATCATTTAATATAAAAAATCAAGATGCTCAGAGACTCAACACAGACACTATTCATACTAAGAATTCTTAGATACCCGTTGAAATTAATTAAATAAAAAAATTTCAGGGCAGCCAATTTATACCTCCGATATTCTGAGCTCCGTGTCCCTTGACTTGGTTCATCTTCGAATCCATTTATTGGTCCTTCACAGACTTTGCCGAGTACAAACTGCAAACATAAACAACACCCATTATACCTTTTTCAGATGGATTTTAGAGAGAGGCGAGAGAGAGATTAGGGTTTAAGAGCAATAATAAAAACTAATTTTATGCTGAGATGACCCAGTGAAGCAATTGTGGTAGGCGTCTCTCAGATTTGCACAGGGAGAAGCGAAAGAAGAAGAAGAAGGTAGAGAGAGGATGGTCGATAGCTTACCCGGTGTTTGAGAGTGACAGAAGGCAAGTTGAGAGCAACGGAAGCAGAGATTTGCGAAAGAGAGAACTGGAAACGGATGGAAAAATCGAGAAGCTGCAGTCGAAGTAGAGGTTAAGACGATGATGGACGCGTGGCCAACGTGGACAAATGCGTAATTTCACTATGCCAAGACGTAAAAACAACGGGGCAAGGAAAGTTGAATGAGGGCAATTTCGTCATTTTACTGCTGGTAAACAGTACTTTTCCACCGGGTTTTAGTATATAGATAATGTCCCTTAGAATATTACTAGCAAGTGTACCTGCGCGTTGTTGCGGTGTTTGAAAACATAATTGAATATGCAGAAGTCTCAAAAAATATATGTGCCAAAGATTGGTGTTTATATACATATATTACATCCACGTCCATGTGTTAAAGAAGTGCTATTTACATTCATATATTACATGACAAAAATTGGAAGTACGGGTGTGCCATTCTTAAGGATTGTTTTTCAAAAGTTATGGCTCTACCCCAGAGATTGTTTTATGCGTACAATTTTACAAAGTTAAACAATCCAGTTTTGTTTCACTAAAGACACCCAAATTTGTAACTTCGTTAATGATGTCTCCTTCGTTTTCTATGACAACATAGAGGTAAAAATTAAGAGAAGGAAATTAAAAACAGAATTGGATCACTTATGAATTGAATCACACTAAGTTGCATATGAATTGAATTGAATGAAAATCTAAGGATGAATGAAAATTTGTCATAATCTAACTCTACAAAATTTCAATATGCCAGATTTCATTTGTAGGCACCAAATCAAATTCACAAAATTAAGTTGGGTTTTTCATTTTCTCTATTGGTTTTCACCATGCCAGATTTCTAAATTTTACTTTAGGCAGGATTAATATGCACATCTTTACCAATATATAGTTCGCTAAATTGATTTTTACTCAATGTTTCACAGTATTAATGTAAATAGGGGAAAACATAACAAACATCCTTAATCACAAACAGAGCATAACCGAATGTCATGTATGTCACAATGCAGAATTCGTCCAACTGAATTGTGTTTCTAGTTGATTATTTATCAAAACTAAATAAAAATGTCAAGCATATGAAGATAAAATACACACCTGGGATATCAGTCTCACAAAATCGCAGCATAAGGAAGCAGATGGAAGTACTCAACGACCGTTGTAACTGCCCAGCTGTTGAAACTCTTTTGTACCGAAGGACCCTGCAGCAAAGTCCAATTGTTACACAGTCATGACCACTTAGAAAAAAGTATAATAAAGATAGAAAACTAAGAAAAATTCCATGATATACCAGAGCATAAGGAAGATTCAACCACCAAGGATCAATATCATTCTTTGATCGATTGCCACTGACTTTGTTAGCCACTGATTCCTTTTCAGCTTCTTGGAATAATACTTACTTTCTGGTGCAAGGACAAATGCCGACTTATTTCCAACTCCAACACCAACCATTCTGCATCACTGTTGAAAAAAAGTATTATAGGTTGATCAAATACTACTATGTAGTAGTGTAATTTCATATTAAGTGCTTTTTGTCACCTATAATTTGTTAAGCTTTTGTTTAGATTCAGTTGGCAAAAGCTTTATTGTATCGCACACAAAATTTTGAAGAAAGCATAAGAAAGATGAGCAAAATTGAAGTCATTGTTACTCATATCGGATAAGTCTTCTATTACATGCTGCATTTTCTTTTTATGCGTGCCTGATCAAATACTGTTTTTCTTTTCTGAAAATACTTTTTTTCAATTTCATTATAAATCCTCAGTCGTTATCATTTGTCAGTCAACTTTGCTATCCCATCTACCTTCCCTTGTCTTTCAGTTCTTATATTATGTATTTCAAAAGTTATATGTATCGCTTCTTTTCTATAAAAAAAATTGACATTTATAACTTCACTGACAAAGCAGTTACCTTCAGTCCTGCACAACCTGCAATTCCTGTAACTACTGTGACCGCATCTGGGTGGCGGGAAACCTGAGAAGAGAAAAATGAGTGATTCCTTGAAGATGAACAAAACAAAATTCATCAACCAAAGGCGATTGGATGCTAGGCTACCTCAAAGCTTGAACACAAACCAAGACATAAGATACTCACCAAACTTTTTAAATGGCTCAATTGTTTGCTTAACTTGACAACTTTTTCCTGCAATTCATATATAAGATCATTAGATGTAGTAAATAAAAATTATAAAAGCAAAATTCTCACCTCAAGTATGCAACAGAGGTTAAATTTTTAATATAAAAAATAAAACTCTTGCATCTAGCGAACCTAGTTAGTCCTCAACACAAAACAAACAAATTTTAAGCAGTTAAATGCACATCCAGCTAGGCAGCTACAAAGAAACCAATTCAAGGCTTAAACCTAGCTTATGACTACATTGAAATGACAAAGAAAATCCATATTAACAAACTGATAGAAATTTGTTTTTCACTACTAATATAGAAAATCTTACTAATGGCCAAGCCGAAACAAATATGAAAAAAAAATCACCTGAGCAGAGCCTAATCCAAATACATGTTTCTTCATTGCACTCAACCTTTCAACAGAAACCTAATAAAGGCAAACCACAGTCTTGTTAATTTCCTCATCGTAATTGGGACCAAGCATAATATTCCTTGCAGACAGCGTGCTTCTCAGCTTTGGAAGAACCTCATTGTTTGGCGTTGTGCTCTCAATTGGTTGCTTCTTCTCTGTGCTTGATTTGAGTGTTGCCTTCATGGCCTTAGCTTGGTTCATTGGAGGGGTTGATAGATTGGGGTTCTGATTTCCTCATCTTCCTTGAATCTTGAATTATTGGTCAGGTAAATCGATATTGATTTAGTCCCCTTCTCTTTAACTTCACATCTCTGAAACAGCCAAAAATAAAAAAGGGTCAAACCGTGCCGAATTTGAATTAAAATTGTACTGTGAAAGAAGAAGATTCATGTGTTTTTCTTGTTACCTCTGTATTTTATCACGGTTTGGTCAGTGTGATTTCTTCACGTTTATCATCCAATCTGATGCCAGTAGGTTCCTTCTTGGGAGATTGAGGCTCCTCCTTGCTTGTTTTAACATTTCGACTCTCCGATTCATCGTTCACTGGCATTGACTTCAACACCGCGTTGCTCTCCGGCCTAATTGACTCCCACTGAGCCTCCAGTGATGCCGGAACAGCTTGAGAGTGGGGCAAATCATACGAAGACCCGCCATTTTCAGTTGGAGATCTTGGGTTTTTTTTTCCAAATTCGGACAGGAAGTCTCAACCTTAGCAGGCTGATCAGCCACCACTTTGGCCATAGAAGAAATGGGACTGTTTTGAACCGCCGGGTTCTCGTCGTCCTACTTCACGGATCGCGGTCTTTTCCTCTTGGGTGCTGTAGATTTGAACCAAAGACACCAAATTTCCATCAGTCACAATAAAAACACAACAGAACCCAGTTCTGTTTGCTCACCGAAAAACCAACCAAGCGATTCAATCCCTTTTTCTCAGTCTCTCAGCGACCAAACGGAGCATTTGGGGTACCCAAAAAGAAATGAACAAAACCGAGAGCTCCATGAACTTATAATACCCACCGACGGCGGACATGGTAGTGATGGAGGAGCTAGGAAGTGAGTCGTTTTCATCAAGAAAGTGAAGGAGAGAAGGCAGCGGCGAGGGAGTTCTAGAGAGAGAAACTGGTTTGAAGGAGAAGTATGAAATTTTGGAGGGAGATTGAATTTTAGAGAGAGAACTCGAGAAACCTGCAGAGAAGTAAACGGAAAGGTTTACTGGAATCTTCGAGAGAGAGGTCGAGAAATCTGAGAAAGAACACACGTCCACCATCAGCAACTCGCGTCCATCACTGACAAAACAAGGTTAAAAACGGAATCACACTGTATAATAAATAGTGATCACACAAACAAAGAAGCGGCAAAAACGGAAGAACATTGGCGAATGAACAGTAAAAAGGACACAAAGGGAATTAACCACAAAGTTAGGTGTTTAGTATATACTAGCAAAGGTGCCCGCGCGATGTTGCGGGTTTTTAAACATCATACAACATGTAGAAAGTTATATTTACAACTCTGCCTAACTCAAGGAATAGATAAAAGTTTGTTTCTTACCGAAATATACGAATTTGAATGACATGTATCAAAGAAGTATAGAGTGGAGCAAACCTTGTAATTTTTGTAAGGTGGGCAGCTGCAATACCAATAGTGATATAATTTGACGGAATCTGGCTGTAATCTAGCTTGGTTGTTCTTTGTAAATTTGTTGGAAAATGTAGTAGTTGGCTTGAAAAAAACAATCAAGAGCGTTGAACGAATCAAACCTGAATGATATCAAATCAAATCTTAATTATGTACCAATGGTGAACTTATATTTCACAGGCACCATGAAGCATAAAAGTTTAACCAAACAACGAAAATTCAGCTAGAAGCGTCAATGTTTAAACATTTCAAACGTATAAAAGTTCAGTGAAACAATCAAAACCCAGTTAGAAACCTCAATGGTTGAATTCACAAACTATGTAAGTTTATGTTGTATTAATTCATGCACATCATTTCACTAAAACAACCGAAAATGCGAAGAAAGGTTAGACATACATAGGTTTTGATGCTAAAAGTAGTACCTGAAGTGGGCAAAAAGTTGGACAGTGTGGTGGACTTGAGAGCTTCTCGATGAGATATAAGACACATCATTGTGGGCAAGAAATTGGGAATTTAGTGTTATGGTTTCAGTGTATGGAAACAATATAAATTAGAAAGAGAAGGGGGAGCGCTTGAACACATATTGGAGTTGTTTTGACACTATCTTTTATCAAATAGGTGGTGGGCACTAAAACATTCAATTTGACAAAGTCAAGCTCATTTACAGTTGTTTATCCATTGAGCAAAAGATACACTGTGAATGTAAATGTTACTTTTAAACTCGAATCAAAAGCGTGAAATTAACATATTTTTGAAATTTTATTTCATTAAGCTGTGTTACCCAAATGAAGGAATAAATATAGGATGACAGGAAACTGGTGCATGTTCTCTACGAAGCTTTGCTAGTTCTCTGTTTTCCTCAATTCAATGAAGAGTTTAGACCCACTAATTTATCAATAAATAAATAAACACAGTAAAAAACCTTAAATTACCCAATTAGAATAATGACAACAATTGGACAAAACAAAAGA